ACATCAGTCCTGTTCTTGGTGTCTGTCTTGATTACACAGAAAGCTATGAGCTGGAGATAGACTCAGGCCACTATTCTTTTACAATTAATTTTTTAAACTCTGTGTTCTCAGTACTGGAAAAACAGATTCATAGTCATTAGCTGAAACTTTAGAGAATTATGCTATATTATAGATTAATGTAAGAGATCATTGGTTTCACATAATCTTTTTTGAGTTTCTAGATTCTAGAACTTGTGCCCATGTCATACTATGGTATGAGTCAAGCATAAGGAATGCTGAGTTGTAGTTCAACATCTAAAAGGCCAGCGATTCCCTGTGATCGGTGTATGCTTAGCAGTATACAATGCAAGAATTAATACATGTAAGCATTTGGGGCAATTTCAATGTGAAGACCATTTGGACTCTGGTAGGCTTACATGGGGATGATGGGGCATCAGTAATAATTTATTATTTAAGGGTTTTTTTTTAATCCCACTTTGCTAAGTTTATAAGTAACTCAAGGTGGTAAAACATAACTAATATTCCTCCTCCCCTTTTCCCCACAACTCTGTGAGGTGAGTTGGGCTGAGAGACACTGGTCCAGTCACCCAGATGGCTTTCATGCCTAACGCAGGATTAGAACTCAGTTTCCTGCTTTCTATCCTAGTGCTTTAACCATTAGACCAGACTGGCTCTCATGTGGTAATTATTGCCCAGAATCCTTGAATCTTTTCAATTTGATACACTGTTCCAACGTATGATTATTCTAATAGTCCAGAATGTGGGAAAAACACCAAATTACAAATGACTGCTCTTCTGGTAGAAATATACACTAATGGATCCTAGTTGTCTGGCTCATGTTGGATCCTGTTGGAATTACAGCAACAGCAGCAGCTGTGAATAGGCTTAAACTAATCTGTGCAGTTACCCATTCAAATCAGAAGTTCCTGAGAGATGAGATTGGCTAGGCTCACATATGTCTCTGTGAACCCAGTCCCAGTCTATGGTTTATTCAGTCAACCAAGGTTTAGCAGTGTATAAACTTGCCCATGGAATTCACAAAGACAGTGTGATCTATTTCATCTGTGTTGTTTCATTTAAAAAGGCACCCCATTACTTGAGCTTTTGCAGCCACTTAACAAATATCAGTTGTGAAGAATTATAGTTTGTGCTTAGAGAGGTGTTTACATGAAAAAAAGAACTTTACAGATATTCTATCCAGTTTATATGCTACCAAATGCATTCAATACAAAATAATTCTTCCTGGCTAAATGTTCATACTTCGATGAAGCAACAAGGTAGCTGTATAATTAATCATAGCTAAGCTGCATGGTGTAGATGAGGTCTATTCCTCAACATTTTAATGCATTAGAAGAATTCAAATAATTTTTGTATGCTACCCAGAGCCATGTGCAATGGCTGTGTGTGATGTGTGAAACAAAAATTGGAGTTGTGAAAATCCTTTTCTTCTGAAAATATTGGCTTTTTTCTGTTGAATTAATGTGTTGAATTAATATTTCTATTGTAGAAATATTCTACAATATTTGGGAAAATGTTCTACAGCAGGGGTGTCAAAACCGGTGGCCTGTGGGCCGGATACATCACATGCAGGCCACGCCTACCCTGGCTCCGCAAAGGCAAAAAACGTGATATGTCATGTGACACGATCAAGTTTGGCACCCATGTTCTACACAGATGAGCAGTAACCTTATGGGACATAGCCAGAGTACTGTATAGCTTTTAATGACTCTACTGTCAAAATACTGTTTTCTAAATGTTCTCCAATGTTTGGTATGCAAAAGAGCATTTAGAGGGGAAAAAAAGATGCTAAGAAAATGATTTCTACCCAAAAATGTATTCATATGAGCCCTGTGAATCAAGGTTCATTTTTAGGGTATCTTTTACCTTTTTACCTGCCATGGAATATTTTTTTCTTTTTGCTGCTGTATGCATACAGATATAGAGAGCCAGTTTCGTATAGTGGTTAAGGCACCAGGCTAGGTACCAGGAGATTGTGAGTTCTAGTTCTGCCCTAGGCGCAAAGGCAGCTGGGTGATCTTGGACCAGTCTCTCTCTGTTCTACGAAGGAGGCAGACCACTTCCAGAAACCTTGCCAAGCCCATGTAGTCACCAGGAGTGAAAAACTTACTTGAACCCTTAAAAAAAAAAAAGACTAATCAAATGGACTGGATAATGAAAGGCTACAGGAGATATTTGTTGCATGACAAAAAAATTAGGATTCCTTTTTATTTGGACTGATTTCATCCTCCGCAGTTGAAATAGATGGTGTTCTTAATATATCAGAATGACAATACAATTTGTATATATCTAGACATAAACATTTTGGCAAGTAAGACTCTCAAGGAAAAAGCGAGGTGCTTTACTGCATGGGACAAATGCTTTATTCAGAATTAAGAGACTTCTGAAGCCTTAATAAAATTAACCTAGGTGTAGCTTTCACAGGAAGCTACTTGTTTTGAGATAAGACAGTGAAGAAAGCGGTCATGGAAAATAGCATCTATGTTTTGATTTTGTCAGCTTGTTTCCAACACTAATCATCATACAAAGATTATATATGTGACCTTAGGTAGTGATGTGTATTGCTTGATAAAAATACAAATGTGTTTTTGAATCATTTTTAGCAACTGCTGTGATCAGTCTAAAGTGATCATGGGTGTAAAGGCAACCTATTGTATAGCTATTATATTCCTAAAATAAGGTGTAGATCAGTTCTAAAACATACTGATTGATTAAAAGTGGTCAGTTCACACAAAATACAAGTAGTCCTCGACTTAGGACCACAATTGAGCCCACAATTTCTGTTGTTAAGTGAGAATTTGTTACCTGATTTTTGCTCCATTTTACAACTGTTCTTGCCACAGTTGTTAAATGAATCATTGCAGTTGTTAAGTTAGTAACCCAGTTGTTAAGTGAATCTGGCTTCCTCGCTGACTTTGCTTGTCAAAAGGTTGCAAAAAGTGATCACATGATCTTAAGACACAGCAACGGTCGTAAGTATGAACCAGTTGCCAAGCATCCCCACATGATCATGGGGATGCTACAAAGGTTGTAACTGTGAAAAATGGTCATAAGTCACTTTTTTCAGTTTTTTGCCGTTGTAACTTTGAACGATCACTAAATGAACTATTGTAAGTCAAGGACTACCTGTAATTCAAGGACTACCTTCCCAGCTTTGTATTCTTCAGATATGTTACTACATATCCCAAATCCTCAATCAAAATTGCCAAATATGATAGCGATTATAGTATACTCCATGAAGAAACCACACCAAAGAAGGCTCAGTTAAGTGACTGCAAATGTTTGATAAATTCCTTTCTTTGCTGATACCAGTAGATAAATGCTTAAAATTTCTCTCATACAATTAGGTGATTGCTTGAAATTTATTTCAACAGACTCCTACAACCAACCTTAACACAGTTATATTAGTTCTACTGGTGACTGCTATAGTTACCATTTAATAAATAAGACTATGCATACATATATACATTATACAAACCAGTTGCACTATTCCTTTTAGAATAAGCAATGTTATGTAGATTGCAGAAAAGGAATAAGAAATAGGATGCCAAAGGAAAAAAAATAGAAAATGAAAAAAATCCAAACTTGTTTATACAACCAGCATCCACTATGCTTTTCCATACTGCTTTATCCTTGCAAACTATCCTTGCTTCCATCACATCAATAACCAATTCCTGCACTGCCTTTTATTCATTAAAATTCTCATGTCTCTCTTTTTTAGGATCTCAGAATCATTCTGGAGCTCGGTGGCTTTTTAAAAAATTAACTCCATACAATCACTAATTCCTTGGACTACCCCTTTGCTTGGCCCATTTCCTTCCTATATTTGATTTGTAACTCAGTACTCATTCTCCACATGAACCACTGAACCATCTCAACGTACTATTTTCATACTGGCTACTCACTGTTGAGAAAGGGAATCCACTTCCCTTCACATTCATTGACTGAAGCTTTTCTTGTTTTACAGCAGACATCTAGTACAGCTGTTTCCACTATTGTCAACTCATAGGTTTCCCCAGCATACCTAACTCACTTCCACATAATGAAGTGGGCAGAAGCACATTGTTATACACAATTGTTTTTGCTCCTTTCAGCAAACCTTTATTCCTTGAAACAGACTATACACTATCTACTACTGTTCTAAATATATTTACATGTCTTAAAATTTCTCCACTTATTTTCACATCTTAATAACAATTATAACAAAGTGTAAAAGTTCATCTACTTGCTCTAATTTTCCACTTTTACATACAAATCTCTTAATTATAAAAGTTAGGTGTACAGTTGTATTTTTACATAATTTCCCAATTATAAATGTATTTTAATTACGCAGCTAGGAGAAAATAAACATTAGCCTGTGCATTATTGCTAGGATTTGGTTTGATGTGGGAAGAAGCAGAACAAGAAGTTTGGGGGTACAATACAGTCAACTTCCTGATATCCTCCAAATGTATTGGGTGTAAACTTCCACAAGCCGTAGCAAGCAGAATCACAGGTTACCTAAGTATCTAGGAACTCAAAGTCCAACATATCTGGACTTTAGGAAGGCAAGATGGATATGTAGAAAAGGGGATGTGATTTATGTTATTGTCTCTTGAAGGGCTGTTTAGCAGCATTTTCTCCTAGAAAACTAGAATCTCAGACCCTAAAAACATCCTTTGCAGATACAGCTTTCAAAAAACACATCTTTTTAAACTTTCTGTTTCCTTTCAGATTATAAAGTTATTAAATTCTAAGCTACTCTATATCAGCAATGATTCTCTTCTAAGGGAGGTTCATCTCTCTGCACCATTGCCGCACAAAGCATTCATATTTTAAATAAACACACATGCACACTTGTTTTCTGATCTTCTAGTGAACAAAAAAGAAAAACACCCACATGATTTGTAGTGTATAGTAATGTAAATGTATGTGTTTGATGAAAATCAATTGGTTTAAAAAAAACAGACAGCATATGGAAAAGAGGCACAAGGAAGCAAAGGTTCAGGTCCTTCTTCTGCCTTTAATCAGAGGTAAATGAGTTCACGGCAACAAGGAAAGTACCATGTAAGTCTCAAAGGCAGAGAGTAGAACACAGAATTCCAGCCCCTCCTAGACAATGCGATAAAAAGACTTGCAGATAGGCCATTGCAACACAGAAAGTCGAGCGGCAATGAGACAGCTGGTCACATTTTATGAGGAAGATGCAAGAGCAGCATATGGATTCACCTCCAGAGGCTTCTTCATTGGATCATCAGACATCTTTCCTTCTTGGGCAAGGCAGAGTCATAACAGCCAATGGAAGTAGGGAAGGACTTTTAGTAACAGATCACAAATATTGCCCACCTCAGCCATAGGCTAGGAGAGAAGCTGCCCTGATTCAGGTATACTTGAACATTCTTTCTTGAAGGACGTAGCAAAAAGCAAAGGTTTCATCACAGCTCCACAAAACTTCCCAAAGGAGTTGCATAAAATTTATTTCAAATTGCCCTGTGGCAAAACTCCACCTGAGTACAATCCTCCTGGGTTGAATGAATGATCTGATTTGTTGCTCCTCCAGCAGGAGGCAGGCATGGGTACTTCAAAAAGCCACACAAAATCATCATGCCATACTTTTATTATTCAGTTCCATTTTCCAGCACTCGGCTTCAAAAAATGTCTCTTATCTAATGCGTAGTCTAATTTGTAAACTCAGCTAATGTTATCTTATTTTCAGAAACCAGCTGTATTCACAAAGATATTAACCTACATTAACCCCCTCCCCGTAACATGCACACAGCCTAAAACTACGGTATGATCAGCAGATAGGCTGGAAAAAAAATCTTCCCTCACATATGCTTGCCCTGGAGATGGATTAAAGCATCAGGCTATCCTCAGAAATGAAACCCCTCCCCACACATATTTAGCACCAGTGTAAATAATAAAGAAATTCACTATCTTAGAAACTAGATTCATAGCCTAAAAGTTTTAACATCCAGTTTTCTCTGGGTGAAAGAGAAGGCTTCTTTCGATATATTCCCAGATCTCTAAAATGGTTGCTTTCCTATTTTGCTATATAGAACATGTCACTACTTTGTTCAAATTGGAATATCATCAGGTTTTTTTCTCCCTTTCTCAACAATTTTAGGTCAATGCATCCTGTTTGTATTTTGGAGTCATATCCCCACCCTATAAAAATATAGCCTAATTCCTGAGGGAATCAGCCTTTTCCCCCCCTGCCAGAACCCCTGTCTTAGCTCACTCTATGGCAACATGCTCATCCAAAGACAACTTCTACCAGGGTGGTAATCCCAGAGATCCGGGGGGAAACAATTAAATGTAGTTGGATTTATTTGTAACAAAACACAAACAGGCACTATCTACTGAAAATTCATTTCTATTAGAGGCTTTCTTCATCTGTAAAATTCCTCCAGAGCTCAATCTCAGTTGGCCAACCTACTCCCACTTTAAAACTTCTGCCTTCTATTGTCTCTGCTCCTTGTTCTTGCATGCAAGACTCCTTGCTTCATTATTCTCTTACAGGACGTGCAAATTCCTACTTTCTTTTCTGCTCACTTGACATGCTTCTAAATAAGCAGCTATAGTGCTACATTACCATTTAACACACCAATCTTCTATGACATGTGCTTGCTTTGTGGCATTTGGCTGGGACAACACATGCAATGCATTGTTAAAAAATTTACATTAATGAGAATAAATTTGGAGATGAAACTCCATCAACTATCCCACCCCTCTTGCTCTGTGGGCAGAACAGTAAGGAAAAAGTGGCAGTCTGGCCATCTTTTTCTGCAATTACTATTCCTTCTATGAGAAAGGAACTGTGGGAGAAAAAATATTCCCAAGGTTGTAATATTAGAGAAGCATTTTCTTGTTGCTAGCATTCTGAAGTGTAACAGACAAAGCAAGTGCAGACTGGGATTAATCAGTCAAAGACTTAATGTTAGCTCTCTGAATGCCACCTTCTGCTGTTGTTGTCTTTCCATTTCTAATGCCTTTGTTTATCCTATTTTCATTTCTGTGAAAGCAAGATTTTAGAGAGAAGGCACAGCTCAAGCCTTTGTCTCTAATCCTTTTACATCCTGAAGCCAAAGGGCTTCAGATACTAGAGAATACAGATGAACTGTTCTGTATCTTTCTTTATGGGTCTCTGGACTTAAATACTGCTTAAGGTAGAAACCAGGCTTGTACAATAGCAGCAGTGGGCATTCAAACCATTTTGCCATCAATTAAGAGCATGATTTATCCAGCCCATTTATCCTTATCTACAATTTAAAGATGGGACTGTGGGGAAAGATATTAGGGTGTTTGTTTCTGTTTCTTAATTCTGTACTTTGTGCCATGGAAGCAAGAGGAAGAAAAGGGAAGCAGCATGAAAGATCAGGAAGGGGCATATTGTTCAAATGAAGGCAGCAAAATGGGGAGGCAAGTTATAGGAAGATGGGCAAATGTGAATGTAGTGTCCCCAGAGTAGGGAACAAGACCACTCTCAAACATCAACCTCTTCCCCCCTGGTTAAGGTACAGGAAAGAGAACAAAGGAAGCCACAGGGAATCCTGGAAAAGTCCTGTTCTGGCAGACAAAGGAAGTGGGGAGAGGCCACCTTGTAGAGTTTCTTCCTGTTCTCTTGCTGATTGGTGCTGTAGTAGAGCCGTGTGCAGCCAGTTGAATATTCTTCTGCTGTGTTCCTTGGTGCTCACTTTGGATGGAAGGTTGGTTTGGGACGGGTGTGGAGTCCTTGACGAGTAAAGCAGGAACAGTGGAAGGAGGGGAATGGTTTGGAAGAAAAAGTCGAAAGAAGCTGCACAAGCATCCAGATGATTGTGTTGGAAGGGAGGGGGGGAGAAGTCTCAGGAGGCATTTAAGCCTAGTGCACAGAGAGGAGAAAGACACAATGTACAAGGCCACGGTGAAGATGCATAGTATCCTGAAGAGTGACAGCGAGGGAATAGAGCTATATGTTAACAGTATAGACAAGGAGGTCAAAGAATTATGGAGGGGTAGAAAATTGTACAGACGATCTTAACAGAGGATTTACAAATCCCTTTAGCTAATGTGAAAAAATGCTTTGAAATTTTCAAAATACAAACTTTGTTTAGTCATGCTTTTGGGTAGAAACACCACTATTTGACCAGCACAATTTTGGGTAAAAATTAGATCTATTTAATTACAAGGTCCAATGCACAGCATGGCCATGTAAGGGAAGGCTCCTTCATTTATTCCATGGTCCCACTGCTTCAACCAATCTAATATGGTATGGAAGAGGTAGAAGAGGAAAGAAAGAAAATTAGTGGCAAATAATAAAAGGATAAAATGTATTTCTCAGAAAAGAACCCATCTCCACAATCTTAGCAACTAAAATGGATAATTTGGCATAGGAAAAAAAATTGTATTCAAGTAAGAAAAAGAAACCCAGGCATACTCTACACAAGCAGCATTATGAAAAAGCATGATGCTGATTCAGACAACAAAAAATCTACCAAAACTGGTAGAATTAGACTTTCAAATGCCAGGAAGTGGAGAAAAATTATGCAGAGGAATGAAAATAAGATCTGTCCACACCAGCAACCTGACAGTCCTATATAGTTTTGATGCATGTGTAATGTATGCCTTAAATTAGTTCTCAAAAATAGTACAATCTAGACTGAGGTCACCTTAAAATGCTAGCGAAATGTGAGTTGGATGGCTTCAAATAAGAATTCAGCACAGGAGAAGAATGTTAATTAACATTTTCCCTTGGAATGATTCCTAAATAAAAATAATCTTCCAGAACAATTATTGTTTGCTAACATTTTAATTCAAACACACATGAAAACTGGGAAAATGCAGTGCATGAAAAGCTGATTATTAACATAAATGTTTAATGGGTTTAATGGTTAAGGTCACAGAATTTGTTTCCCTCTTTCATGTTCTGCTTATTATATGGGAAGTTATTTTTAGCAACACAAATAGAACCTTTCTCCCAGCCACAGTGGGCCAATTTGTAGGTTGTGAGGCTTTTTTCTTCCTGAAAGAGCATTCTACTCCCAAACAAAGCAACACAGGAAAAAAACCTTAAACAATAAGTATTCATTAGCAAAATGAAGTTGGAGATGGTAAATTGGCAGTAATACATAAGTTTGCTTCTTGGCAAATGGCAACTTCATTAAGCATAATAGGATCTTTTATGTGGGGTAAACTGTCAGAATAGGGCAAGAGGAGCTCTTTGCATACATGAAATGGCATAATATTAAATTGTTATATTATTATATTTTACCTAGCTCATAGATATGATTCCAGATTTCAGCTATTTAAAAATATTTTACTGAATGCATCCGGAGTTGGGCCCTACTCTTTCATGCATTAAAATCTTCCTCAGACGGTTGGAAAAGATAGGCAAGGGTTAGTAGGATTCAATAGTTTTAGCTGGGAACTTTTTAAATCTGAGAATATCAGTGAAATTTGAACCAGCTGGGAAAAGAAAATAGGATGCCAATATAAGAGCTTCATAAGTGTAGATCTAACTGTACAAGGAACAGACAGGACAAACAAGTGAGAGATTAAGATTAAATTCAAACCTACAGCCTGAGGTATAAAAGCTAATCTCTTTATACTTTAAATATCATGGGTTTATGGGAAAAGTAAGTCAGGATTTAAGAATTCCTATAATTAAAACTACTCCGTTGTAATGATAGAGAGCCATTTGTCCTCGCTGACTCATGACCACACTATAACTTCTGCTGGTTCTGAACATTCTGGGAAATACTCAATTTACTGCTATAGGATATCAGCATTTTGCTATTACAGTTAAAAGTGTGATTACAGGAAATGCATTTTAGGGGTGACTGGAAAGAATGAGAAAGATTTTTTGGGGGCAGTTTTCTCATCTCTGTTGAAGAAAGCTTTAAAAAAAAACAACAACCCAGGTTTTCTAAGCATGGTTTGAAAATAATTGGATTAGAGGCAGATACGTGGCAGATACATTGAAGGTACTTTTTAAATTCCTTTGAAGACTTGAGAGAGTCTGGGAACAGTTTAAACTCATATTTGTGCATTGTATGGATAAGATAGCAGATCGCTTTTAGATGTTGCAGGCCATAATATAACATAGATATCTCTCATATGATGCTGCTACCTTTCCATTTGAGGGAATGTTCTAGCATATCCATAGCTTTATCATCCTTTGAGGCTCAATCTAAACAAGTAGCTTTGAAATTAGGATTCCTGGAACAAGATTATAGCCTCTGCAGCAAATAAAGTGGCCAAGAACATGGGATGTAGTATGGACACTACATCCATTGAAGTAAAGAGGAAATTATCTGAAATTACTTGCTTTTTTACTAGAGATGATATCTACCCTGAATCCTGAAAAAAGCAAAAGATGGATGCAGATAATCCTTCTTTACTCAAACGTAGAATATCTAAGATGAATGATACTAAGCAGATAAGGGGACACTAATCAAAGACTGAAGAAATGTAACATTTAAAGAAGAGAGTAGTTAAAAACTGTTATCTATACATTATGTATAAATTGTATATTTTGTGTATCCTGGGGCAAATAAAATACTGGTTTTTCAGTTTGAAGATAACTACTAATAGCTATGGCCTCACCAGTACTTACGATATTGTTATGAACTTCCTATTTATTTTATTTTTCAAATTTAGAAACCACCCTTTTCCTCACACTTTTATCAGAAAAATGAACTGAAAGAGGAAAATATTATATACTTGCATTTAAATGTTTTCAAAGATCTTAGAATAAGGGAAAAATAAAACTGGTTAATCCAGCTGGGTAATATATATCATATAGTTTTCAGTCTAATTGGAAAGTACCCTTCATAAAGGAAGCAAAGGATAAGTCTTTAGAGTCTGGAATGTCATATATTGCTGTTTTGCATAATTCTAGGAGGCTCAGGTATTCTTTAAGCCAAGTTTTTAAAATGTGTTTCTGCTAGGTACAATCCACAATCAAGACTGCAAGACACCCAGATGCTGATTGGCTGTCATGGCAATTTGTTTATGATAGATGGGGAATGGAGAAGCACATGCAGGTAAGGGATCAGTAGAATAGAATGTGAAGAGTTAAGGAGCAATCAAGCAGGTGTTTGTTAGTATGACCAAAGCACAGAAACAATGAATGGTCCATTACCTCCCCTCCCAAAATTATTTGAGACCAAATTATTTGCTGCTCAATCTATTTTAGAATAAAACCTAGAAAAAACATATCAAAGGTGGTAACATGTGGTTAATGCCTACTCTTTTCTCCCAAATCAGGTTTTTGGTTCCAAAATGTTAATCAAAACATCCATCTCTGAATTTGAACAGACTTTGGAGGGAGAGAAAAGTAGTAAACAAATTTAGTTATGTTTTTCATCAAAAACCTAATTTTATACGGATTGATTTTATTTTCAATCAAAATCTGGCTTCCTCATTTATGAACTGGGTGTAATGTTATGACACTGGAAGTGAGACAATTATTTTTCAAGGACTGAAAACTTTTTGTGATATATTCTGAGCCAGCTCAATAGTCTTCCTTACTCGGTTTTGCAACATTTTGCTGTAATGAAAGAAGCTAATCATCACGCTAGAAAGGGCAGCAAAGAAGGGTAAAGGGGAATGACATCTACTTTAGCACCTGTTCTCCAATAACAAATGCAGAAAAATGTTTCTCCATGTGTATAGCTTATCTATCAATAAGTATATGAATAAGATACAGGTAACCTTTTGCTATTTTGAAAAAAATAAAGTTTGACCCATTCATTCCACCCCTTCTCAATATCCTTCAATCATTCATGCATACATCTACAAACAATGCTGTCCCTACCCCTGTACCAATTTCCTAAAGTATCATCATATCACCTAAAGTATCACCCTATCTGTAATCCAGGCCAAACTATAAGTACTTCCTCAGACATTAAAATTATCTCTATCACTTCTTTCACTTTCCCTCCCAATTCCCTACTGTGAAACCATAGTACAGAAGATCAAAGTGCCTAAGATTAGTTGCTTTTTGTTCTTTCATTGTCATCATCTTCTTCTAAATACTCAGCACTTCTGAATTATTGGGGGAAAAAAACCACAGAGAAACTAGGCAGGACCTTTCCTGATTCTACCTAAGTGGCAATAAGAGGAATGGGCAAAGATCATGCAGAAGAATGAATGAAGGTGTGTATGCCACGACAGGCTATCAGCTCCCTGAGATGCCAGGGGGAAGCACAGAATTCAGGAAATTACTGCCCCCTGTCTCTCTTGGCTGGATTAGGTGGCTCTTGATGGTGGACTTGTACTTACCCCATTCCATTCCACGCCCATACTCACTTCCTCATTACCATCTGTGGTATTCTCATATTTGATGCTGCCCCCAAGGCTGTCTCGGCTCCTCCTCCTCTCAGAGCCATCGCCCTCTTTGAGAATTTCCACCACTTTAGTCTGGTTAATGGGGTCAATACCCTGCAAGGGAAAAACAACAATAAGAAAGCAATAATACTCTGGACATGATTTTGACAAAGAAACAAAGGAGACTTACTGAGAGTTTGGATAGAACAAAGAGAGACAATTTGGAAAGAAGCCAAACCAACTGGGTGTGACTGTGACTAGTCACTTTCTCTTAGTGTGAGGGAAGAGGCAAAATGGCAAACCATTTCTAAAAAACTTTGCCAAAAAAACTACAAGAACTTGTCCAGGCAGTCTCTGAAAATCAGATCTGAATGAATGGAAGAAAAAAAGAGACAGAAAGGCTACAGTCTATTTCCTGGTCATCATGGATTATTGAATATTCTGCAGCAAAAGGCAGGCTACTATTCTTTAAGGAAATGTTGCTGAACTAAAACCCGATTTAACAAGGAAGGATTACAGTACATCCAAATTATGAGCACTTGTGTATAGCTGCTTTAATCTGGTTTTAACATTTGCTTTTTAAAGCTGTAGTTGTCACTACTTAGTTATGTCCAAAACTGAGAAATAAGAATAGCTTCTAAAAAAGGGATACTGGAAAACATGGTTTAAAATTAAATTGTTTCCTTGCTTGTTTTGGAAGTCATTAACAGATCATTAACAGATAACAGATAATGATGTTAATTGATATTTCTTTTCCCATGTAGAAAAAAAAATGAAGCAAATAGAAAAGGGGCAGTTTTTTGCTATATCTAAAACTTGTACATATCTGGGCTTCCTAAACCTATTTAATCCATTAAGAAATGAATGTAATGTGTGGAAATTGTTGTAATCATTTCAGTATGTAGAAATTTTCTTAAAATAGGGTTTGCTTTGAAAAAATGAAAATGGGGAAAAAAATCATAATATTAATTTGTGCACATTAAGAATTCAATTTCAGAAAATCTCCCTTGGAATATATAGAGGTCAGCTGATATCCTGGAAATATAGGAAATGTCCATCAAGAAGAATAGGCAGTATCTAACCAGCTGCAGAATAACATTACAGCATCAATGAGGCTCTTTATATTATATCCACTAGAGAGATGTCTTATTTTGATGGGCATTTGGAGCTAAGGACCTTAAGAGTTTTATTTTGTGGTTAATTGTTATTGCAGTTTTTAGCTTTATGAAAGTTAGAAGATTCCCTATTTTGTAATGTATTATGCTATTCTTATTTTACACTTTATTCCTATCTATTATAAATTGTTCAAAGTTTGGAGACAAGGGTAGAAAACAGAAAGAAGGCTTCTCTCAATGTTAGTGTACACCAGTTAGCAGGCTATATCTTTGCCAGCTAGTTTCTTTCAAACCAGCCCCCACCCAAAAAAAAATCATTGAGCAGACAACTTTGTCTATGCGCTGTGATTTTTGCTGACTAAAGGGAAGAACTGCTATTAAGTTAAGCAGTTGCAACTTTCCAGGAAAAAGAAGATCACACTAACTACATTTAACCACACCACTGCGGTTATTATCAAGAAAATCTCTAATAGCATTTTACAGTTACAATTTCAGCAGCATTTCAGGCTCTTTGAAGATGCTTTGAAGATACCATTCAAATCTGAATTATCCTTCCTTCCTTCCTTCCTTCCTTCCTTCCTTCCTTCCTTCCTTCCCTCCCTCCCTCCCTCCCTCCCTCCCTCCCTCCCTCCCTGTTGGATTCCCACAAGACTTTTGGTAGTTTCACAAGAATACAAACAAAAAATAAAATATTCAAGATTCAATAAGATTTTTTTTAATTCACAAAAGTATAGGACAAATCAATCGAGAAAAGCAGGCACCAGGTCCCAAATGCTCAATGGAAAAAACGGTTTTCAACTACTCTGAAAGGTGGCGACAATTAGGGCTAATCTAATTTCCACATTTGATTCAAGATGTAAATATACATATAAACACAACTTTTATTTGATTTGCTCTGGAATTTTTATTAAATTGAGGATAAAATAACTTTTATTTGAAAGACTATCTGTTTTCCACTTTGCACAATGCCAGCATTTTTTCTGGGTCACTATTGGCCTTACCTGTCTCCTAGAACGCACTGCACACTCTTCTAAAGTGTCTGCAGCCTCCAGTTTGCCCTGACGCCTGTATAACGCACCCAGGTTCCGCAGAGTGGTGTTCACTGTAGGGCTGAGGGGCATTCAAGAAAAAGTGCACAACTGAAATTAACAATCATTCTTTACCTTTGGAGTAACTTGATCACTAAAGCCCAAGTTATCTTTGATGAATGAATATGCCAGTCTATAGAGCTCCTACAATTATATTATTTTCATTGAAGATAAAATGTAATACAGAATGCATGTAAGCTTATATGTAGTGCGGATACTACAACGGCAGTATCTTTTCCTGCACCCAAATAACTGCCCAGGCAATCACTTTTGTTCTGTGGAAACAAGATGTGAGGTTGAAGTTTGTAAAAATTAAGTATTACCATGATAATTGTATTTAAGGGACATCATACAATTCCATCACATCCCCAGCCTATTTGTGAGGAGTTCACTGATGATATGGTTCATGAAGTGATCAGGAGGGGATCTACTGAGCTACCACAGACTACTTGATTACTGTGGTCACCCTGCCCCATTGCTTAGGTACTGGACATTCATTTCAGCTTGGGCTGCAAGAGGCACTAAGCACATGGCATTCATAGAGCAGACCTGTCATAGTTTATTTCTTTGGTCAAACAAAATCACAAATAATCTGACCTGTTGGGAGGTCACAGAAGGTGTGTATGGGAAGAAGCTGGAAGGAGCTCTATCTCAAATGATTAAAAAAATTTTTTTTTAATACATGAGAGCAACAGTTTTATATTAAAAAACACAACTCCCAGTATAATATAGGGGAGGCATGACATGAAGTAGAATGAAATAGACTGCATGCAGCCTGTCCTAAGAGTGGTTTTTTTACACTCCTTTTGAACTCAGGATTCTCTGATTCGAATGGCCTTACAAAGCAGTCCATCTCCCCCCCCATCCCCAGCTGTGAATCAGAAGGATTTAAACCCATGCATGCACGCCAGATAGGCAGCACCTGAAAGGGGAGGGGGAGGGATTGGGGTGATGACAAAGGCTGCTCTATAAAGCAGCTTTACTGGGTGACCTTTGTCATCCCCCCCTTTCAGTCATTTGCAGACAAATGAAATAGAGCACTCCCATCCTCGTAAACCTGTAAATGTTTTTCCCCACCTTCACATTCCTTGTCATCTTTGCACATTCCTTTGGTGAACAAATGTGAAACTCACAAAGGATTCTGTAACCTCCACAAGAACCATAAATTGAATAACATGAAAAGGTTTAGAAACATAAGCAAATACCACGCCTTACCTGCTGACCTTGCAGGCCTTGTACCAGCCACCATACTCTGCATAGGGGATGTTTTCTCCGTGTTTACTCTGGAAGAGAATTTGGCAAGAGGGAAACATTCCTTAGAACAATCGAAGTCAAGAGCGAGAGTTTCTGTTTGCATGCATGAGAGAAATAAAAAAGAATAATGCACTTGTTTAACACTTGGCAAAAATATAGGCTCCTCTAACTTTCCAATTATAAGAAGTCTTTCCTTTTCTAGAGGCCTCTGCTGTGCTGGACTTCACCTTTCATAATCCAAAGCCAGCATGGGTGGCAATTATGGGAATTGAGATCTAACATATATGAAAGAAATCAGGTTGAGGATCATGCTAACACACTCATATAAGCATGATAGTATAAATATGCCCGAGGATGGGCTCCATCTTGACCTCAGAAGAAAAAAGTTATCTGCAGGTTAGTTCTCCTATGACTTGACCAAGTAGATAAGGAACATCTTCCTGACATACTTAGTGCTCCACAGCAAGAGTTCCTAGGCATCTTAATGCCAAATGGTATGAAAGCATTCTCCATTCTTCAGAGGTCAGTATGGCAGGATATAAATTTCTCCCCAGATTTCCTATGAGATACTACAAATATTGATTTGTAGCAAAGTTCCAATTATGAAAACAGACATACAAAGTTAAAAATAGGTATGGCAAAGAATTTGATCATTAAGTTCATAGGAATGCCTTTGAGAGCAGAGTTCCCCGCCCTTAAATTAGTAGATTGTGTAGCATAAATTGATATTTAAAACAAAGATAGTTCTCTTAGCTTCTGCATATAAAACATTTATGCTCAGAGACATATCCAGTTGGTTGAGAAACTTGTGGGATTATAGGCTAAAGACACACCTTCATGTAAGTGTGAGCTCTGGGCATAAGAATCCTGTCATGCAACTTTCCACTGAAATTATGCCTGAATCAGACAGTTTTTGTACCCTTAGCATTTTCTGAAAGCACTCCAATTCAGTCATCAATTCCATAGCTTACAACTTTGATTTTCAGAATGCCCTCAGGCAAGGTGATTCCCTAATAACTGGATGGTTCTAAGCCTGTTAAGAGTAATACTGAAATGTCAAATGTATTGGGCAGATAAGTTAGAAACATAGGTAGTTGCCCTATAGTTCTATCTAGCTCAATTATTGACTACACTTGTTCAGGGTGTCCTGTATGGAGTTGCTAGGGACTGGATTTGGGAAGTTATGTAATGTATGTATTCTGACATGTATGCATTATGAAAATGTAATCAGGTTTTGCCAGGAAGCCTACATGTCAGAGTCCATTTTTGAACCCTGCTTCAAGCCCAACAGGAACAGGACCCAGGCAGTTCATAATATGTCCTCCCAATTGCTGGAACAAAAAAAATTAATGAAGAGTGGATGTTACCTTTATTGTGTCATGTTTTATTCTCATTTAAAGCCTGAAGTTAACTCTATATATGTTTCACTTTGCTGCTTTCTGAGTCTTCAGGACAGGGAAAATATTTTATTTTGATGATGTATAACATATTAATATATTTATGTACAAACAATTTAAATAAGTTCTCACATATTTCCCTCATAAAGTAACTTGATTTTCAGCCACTTCTCTGTAGGCCAAGCAGTATAGTGGCAAAGGCAGATCAGTGCCTATATAATTTTGCACAGGACATCAAAATATATTTGCAGCTCCATCTGTGCTATTAAAAAATTTCCAGGATAGATTGGAAGGAAAGGAATTTGAGGGAAAAAAACTATGGTTATCAACAATACTCAGTCTTATTCATTGCTGATTTGGGACACAAGGTCAGGTCATTGCACAGAGAGGGCAAGGAGCTGGCACCCATATATTTTTGCAATAAAGGTAATTTTTCTCCTCAGTTGATTTCTGTTCTCCATCTTCCAAGATTATACATGTAATAATTACAGTTATTTCCAAAAAGATTTTTTATGTATGACTCAGAGCAAATTAAAGGCTATATGATTAAATGGATGCAGAATGTAGAGAGTAATTCATATGTAACAATGGGAATTCCAGCGGGGAAAAAATACAGTACGTTTACTGAATAAGAGAGAAATTGGTATAGGGCAGTGTTGGTGAACCTTTTCGGCACCGAGTGCCAAAACAGGAGCGCACGTGTGTGCCAGAAACTGGAAGAGCAGCCGCCGGTGCGCATGCATGCACTAGTAAGTTGATCTTCTGGTTTCCGGCGTGCGCATGTGCACTGGCCACCTGGCCTTCCGGTTTCTGGCGCGCATGTGCGCACCAAGACCAGCTGGCACATGTAGGTTGGGCGGCTGCTCTTCTGGTTTCCGGTGCTCCCACATGTGTGAACACCAGCTGGCCGGCGCACCAGAACCCAGAAGAGCAATGGGCGACAGCTTGCTTACCTGGAGAGATGGCTCTGCATGCCACTTCCAGCACACGTGCCATAGGTTCGCCATCATGGGTATAGGGCATTTTACCCCTGCTATACAACTCTAATCTCAATAACTAAAATTGATACTTCCTTCTTTAAAAATTATTGGAAATTTAACAGTCACGTCAGACCACTTTTTCATATTGGGTAGCTATGTTGTAAAGCACAACAATTTTGATAAATAATTTATACCCGAATGAAACAAATTCTAAAAGCTGAATTTCCTTTCAATCTATTATATAAGTTTTAAATTAAATATCATTTATCTTGTATTTCCACAAAATATTCAGAAGTTGAATGTAAGTGCTGCAAGAATACTTCCAACTAAAAAATACAATTTCCTCTGCAGAATGGCTAATTAAGTTAAATGCAGAATGACTAATTAAATTGAGAGTATGTTTCAATGTCCAAAATAATTTTGTAATCTCAAAAATCAATCTGAGAATTTCATTCAAATTGGAAACTGCTCTATGTATAATTCCATATATGCCTCAACAGAGCATTCAAATATTAACTCTAAGTTCTTAAACCAGAACAGATCTTCAGTAGCTTAGATAAAGTTTATTGTGATTTTTATTTTTATTTTATACTGTGCTGATCACTGCTGTTGATATTTATACATTGGATTATAAAATGACTTATTTTCCAAACATCATATTCCATTATTTAAAACCAGTAAATGACATTTTGAAAAAGATAACCTAATTTTACAACACTTGTAAATTCTATGTTTATTCACTATGTTTATTTACTCCTCTTAAAAAACTTAATAAAATGTAATTTGAAAAACCCACAAAGTTTATTTATGTAACATTCCAACAGGAATGGTAGCTAGCTATTCTGATTCTATTTTTACAATCCCCAAATTTCTTATAGGGAATGAAATGAACAGAAATCCAATCTTTTCACACTTATGTGGAAGTAAATTCCGTATGTTTGATGGAATTTAGTTGTTTGGGCCTGCATCATATTTATGACATTACTAGGCTATATACAGTAGATTAAATGTGACAAAACCAATGCTCTAGTAAAATGGTTTTTATGCCCTTTAATAGTATGAAACAAACAAAAAATCAGATAGTCTAATGGGAGAAGACATTCAAGACAATGGAAACTGAATAAATACATTACTAAAATAATACTCTATTATTCCAATAACAATATATAATCTAATTTCTTTCCACTGCTTGGAAATATCTTTTGTGTTCTCATGCTGAAGTGCTCTGGCTCACTTCTGTGTTTAAGAAAAAGTGATATAATTTAGCTGTTAGAGTTATTAGGTGGAAAGTTTATTGTTTGCATCACATAGGAGTACTGATTTACATAGACAAATGGATGAATACTAAACTCTGAATATTTGCATTTCTTTGTCTAGGTTTTCCTAAATATTTCTCACAAATATTTTCTAGCAAGATAAATACTTAAAAATCGTAAATCTAACTGAAGTTGTTGTTTTTATCTGTTACCTTCTTCCCAAGGATTGATTCATTTGGCATTTTATTAAGCTTCAACAAATGAGAACCTAAATTCACTTTTGATGATTGGCGAGTCTGCTGTTTATAAATCTTTTGCATTCATAACAACTGCCTTGCCTTTTCCTGTCCTTATCAAATTATCCAATTTGCTTTCTGGATGACATACAATTGCAAATCCCATTAGCTGTATTCAGGAAGAAGGTGTCAATATCATGTTTCTTGTAGGCATCTTTTTCCGTGAGTTTGAAAAATATGACATAAAAGTTTGATAGAAGCAAAAGTACCTGAGTACCTTAAAATGATTAGAAGATAAATTGATGCTTGCTAGTATAAAACAACAAATGTATAAAATCACACAACATAAAAGAGTACAAACCAATCCCTTGAACTCAGAAAGTTTCTGATTTAATGTCTTTTTTTTTTTTTGCTATCAGGAAAATTCTCATACATGCCAGAGATGAAGAGAGATCTTTTTCCACCCAAAATTCTGGGAAAACCAATTCAAAACTAACAGTCTTTCATAAAGAGTTCTTAATTTCAGAGACTTCTCAGCATGATCCTATGGGTACAGTCAGCTTTTGTATCCAAGTCAGCAGATGGGATATATCCAAGTTAGCAAATGTAATCAATGAGTAGTAACAATGCACTGCTAGGCAAAAATTAAGAACAGCTGACACATTTTAACTAGTACCACTTAGTACATATGTATGCACATTCATATGTATTCCTTTTCACCCCTTTTAAACCACCAATTTGACAGAAAAGTATTGTGCAGAAAGACATATGGATAGCAATAAGATGAACAGTGCTAATTCCTTTAGCAGCAATAGCAATGAAACTAAGGGAAACTAAGTACTGTAAAGTACTAAAATCCAGGAAATAGATATCTATTTTTATCTACTACTGGAAGCAGTTATCAGTCATTAGATTAGATGAACCCAAAAAAAAAAAAAAAATTCCAATAGCTTTTGCAAGACAAAAACAGAGAGTGGAGCCATCCTGCTTGAGAACTCCTATGATATATCCAGTACTTTAGCCCAAAATGTCCTGGAAGTTTATCACATTTCTATTCTATATTTAGTAATGTTTCATAGATTGTACAGATTTTTCCAAAAGAGTGAGGTGCAGAAGTTCAAAGCCAAGGACTTTGGATTTGTTGTAGCTCTAGTACGCAGAGACTTTTCAACTTAACTCTCTCTCCTCCCAATCTAGGGAAACATTAATAATTAACTTTTCTAAATCTGAAAAGTTTAAAGATGGCCCTTCAAAACAGCAAACTTTAGAAACATTCTGATTCTGAAATGTCTGTGGCCCAGAACCTGCTGAAATCCCTCCATCGTCCATTTTCCAGTACGTCCTAAGGAATCCACTATAACAAAGAAAAAAATATGCAAAGCATGGGAAGAATAGGACAAATGCTTCCAGTTCACACCATACAACCTTGAAAAACGTAAGAAAAACTATCTTCATTCAGATCGAAGGCTTGTATAGCACAGTATTTAGGTCCCACAATCTGATGCCTATGAGAATACCTTCACAAAAGGGAAAGAAGAATGCTATCTTTATACTTTTGCTTACCAAGAACTGGTTCTGAGGCCTATTGGCCCTGATCCTGAAGTTAACTTACATCTATTATTATTCATGGTTACATTCTCTGTGAATCTATACAACCTTCTCAAAAACCATCCTATTTGCTGATTATCTATACTGTATTTAATTATTAATATACATTTTACATGTTTGAAAAAAAATATAGCTTTGAGACCTTTTTCAAAGAAAAACAAAAATGATAGGTCCTTCTACTCATCAGGCAGTACATTCCAAAGACCTGGAATAGGTACTAAAAAGATTTAGCCATCAAATACACAATTCAACAATTGATTTTTTGAAGGATAGGGAATCCTATAGAAAAGAAGCATTCTCCCCACTAACCTAGACCCAAGCAATAGAGGTCTAGAGTCAACAGGCATTTCATGTTTCACTTGGAAATAAACTGACAAGTCTGTGCAACACTTCAGACACAAGGGTAATATGGAATCTTGGGGAGGTCTTTCATAGATCAATTTGACAGCTGAGCTAGTTTTTTCCCCAGGAAGGGATACAGTTGGTATATCAACTAAAACTGATAAAAGGCTTACATGTGACCCAATTTAGAAGAGAAAGTTCTACAGTCCCACTAGAATTGGGACTCTTAACAGCAAGGTTACCTAAGCACAATAGGAATGCAAGTGATTATTTTTATCTGTCTTGTACCTATTCAGCTTACCTGGATAACCCTGGGTTCTTTGAGAGAGGGTTTTTGTCTCTCTCTACACTATATATCACTATAAGATTGTGTCCCTCTTTTCAGTTAGTTTTTTTCTAATCTAAAATTATTCCTAGTTATCATTCAGGAGTTCCTTCAGCTACTTGATGGTTTAGGACAGCACTGCAATGCCTGTGAGAGCACTGCTCTCATCCTCACCTTGCTCATTTTCTCCCTTTCTTCTGCATGCATCCATATAGGCTTGTGTTCATCTGCAGAGAAAAGATAAGAAGAGGGGGAAAGGTCTCTGTATGCATTCTAATGGTATTTTCAGAGGAACCTCTGATATATTGGCTTTCCGGTCCCTTTCCCCTTGTTCGTAAATAAATAAGCAAAGACTTGATAAACAAGCTACAAGAGATTAGACAGTGTAAACTTCACTGCTAATGAAAAGTCTTTACAGATTGTGTATCATTTACTTATCAAAATGCATCCGAAGGAAAAATAGGCTTTTGATCATAGTTCATTTATTTATGAATAGCATACTTGTCCCAATTTTCTCCCAAGAAGTTCTCTTTTCCACACACATCTGTCCTAACAATTATGGAATGTTCGAGAAACCTTCACAATTAACATTCAAGGGTTTCAATCTCCTTCTAAGACCTGGTTCTCTTTGCACATGTTGCCTTTTTCTTCTTTGATGTACATACCATCAACAGTGCCGAATTCTTTCACATGGGCACGGGTGAGAATTTCCTTGTACAGGGTCTCGGCATCCTTGTATTTGGCTTGTTTCAAGTAGCAGGAGGCCTGGCAGAGTACAAGGGATATTGTTATAAAACTATCAAAAAACCCGTTCCATAGCCAGTCACCCCGCACTTCAGATAATCATTTGGCTCCATAGTTCTCACATCAACAAACAGACCCACCAGATTGTTCTTTGTTTTAGCAACATTTGGATCATCAGGCCCTAGGCGGGATTCGTAGATCTCCAGAGCTCGGCGATAGTAATATTCTACTTCTTCATACTTGCCCTGATTCTGGCATAGTAAAGCCAAGTTATTTAACTGTTTGGCCACATCTGGGTGATCTTTGCCTAGAACCTGAAAATGAAGCAGGTAAGAATAATTTATGAAATTCTGCAAAACTTTTCTTTCCCTGGGAAAACTGCATCATAAATACCATTAGAAACTTGAATTTTGTACACATGGCTTCATATTATATGCATATTAGCCTCATTATGGATATAATTCATCCAAAATATATTTCTTTTCGGAAACAGTCTTCTATTGTAGGAATTTCAAGCAGTGAAAGTTGTTGTATAGTTTCAATGATGAGTGGCCCCATAGCCTAGGCCCTAAACCTTCCTCCTTCAAGCTTCTGAAAGAAAGATACCTTTTCCCGGATTTCCAGTGCCCGCTTGCATAATGGTTCTGCCTCCTTGTATTTCCCTCTTTTGCCATACAGAACGGCTAGATTATTTAGGGTTGCAGCAACCTGCAGGGAGATGTGGAAACAACCGCATGAGAACTAAGGAAGAATCAACACACACACAAACACACGCACAGGGCATAAAATGTGATACTACTTAGAGAGCCAATTTGTTATAGCTGGCAGTATTAACAGTAACAGTAACTGGATATGTGAAACAGAAGCCCTAATTGTGTCAACATTTCTCAGCAGGATACTATTTCAAGAAATCACATTGTTCTATTCAGTCACATATTTCTTTTGCCAACAATCTGTAAGGCAACATATGTATTGATATTTTAAATATAAAGTAAAACAATTACTGTATATATAAATTTGGGCCCAAGTGTCACTACCATAATCATGTGCTTGGATTTCCTTATAAAGCTATATGCCCAATGTTGCCTTACTGCTTAAGAAACAAAGGTGATTCCAGGGGTGGGTTCTAAATTTTTTTACTACCGGTTCTGTGGGCGTGGCTTATTTTGTGGGCATGGCTTGATGGTCATGTGACAATTATTTAGGATTTAGCAAAGGTACTGGTCTACCAGGCTTTTAACTGCTTGCAGAGCTGTACTGATCCACCCATTTATTTTTGCAGGCACTGATCTACTCATGTATTTTTGCAGGCACTGGTCTATCCATTTATTTTTGCAGTCACCGGTCTACTCATTTGTTTTCTTTTAACACTGATCAGCTGTAGGGCGGCCCTTTGAAGCCGGGCGGCAAGAGTTTAAACAGTTTTTTTCCCTCTAGTCATCAGTTGGGACTCAGGAGGCAGCAATAGATTGGGGGTGGGGCCAAATAAAAGGTAAGAATAACGTGGGTGGGGTGGGGGGCCCAGAACCGGTTCGGTGACGTCATATCGTCACCGCTACTGGCTCGGCAGAACCGGGCCGAACCGGGAGGAACCCACCACTGGTGTAGACTTTTGATTCAGTTTTCTCTATCTCATTGAAAAGTCAAAGATATTTCTTTATTTGTCCTCCTTTCTTTCTTAATGCTATGCTTCTTCATTAATGGTTCTTATAGGGATATATACTCCATTAGTGGTTGGTCAAATTCCCTTCCTTGTGGTTTATTTATTAGGGGTGTGTGTGTGTGTGTGTGTGTGTGTGTGTGTGTGTAGAAGCAGCTTTCTTCAATCTGGTGCCCTCTAGATATATTGTTTCGATCATCCTCAATTACCATGACTAAAATATGGATTAGCATGGGAATCAGAAGAATTGATCAGGCAATGACACAATTACTTTTCAGTTTCAACATATTCGGATCCTCCTCCTTGAAGTAAAACAAATAATAGCCACTTACTGCAGGGTGATCTTTGCCAAGAGTTTTCTCTCTAATAGACAATGCGTCATTTAGAAGGTGAGCTGCTTCTTTATATTTATTTTGATCCCTGCAACAAAATGTTAGATACAGATACTGTTTAGAAGTAGAGGGACAACAATTTATATAAACATGACACAAACATAGGGAGATTACATTGCACAGAAATAACATCCCATATTAATAGAGTTTGCCACAACAGGGGTTGACTACACCGACTTCCCTCATACTCCCTCTTTCATTTCTGTTCATGACATGCTGTTCCATTTTCACAAGAAGCAGGTACCTTCTACCTATCTATTCCTCACCTATATACTAAGGCCAAGATGTTGAGCATGGTGGCCACATCTGGGTGATCGTGTCCTGAAGTCTTCTCCAAGTCCTCCAGGGCCTGCTTGCAAAGAGGCACAGCCACCTCGTAGCGTCCCTGTGATGCATACTGGATCACCAGATTATGTAGTGTACGCAAGCGTGCTGGGATCTCATAACCACCTTGCTGAGCAGCTGCTACAGCACTGCTGTGTTGATGAGGCACTGCAAATACATATCATATCAATAAATACAGAAGCACAGCATGCAATGCCATATTATGGTTTATTAATACAAGAATTGTCACTCCTTTGTATCCTTAATTTTTCAATCAGATGGAATATTTGGAGGAAGTCAAGTTCAATAGCAGTTCATACAAGAAGAGTGAAAGAATGAAACTTACATCCTTGTCCCTGATCCTCTTCCTCATTTGGAAACAAATCATCCAAAGAATCCTTTGTGGAATCACCTTCCTTCTCCTCCTGAAATGTTAATATAGAAAAGCACCAACAGAAAGGGGTAGAGAGAAATTAATATGCATTAGTACTGCAAGGTTTTTATGCCCGACACTGATGCAAATGATAAAATGTTATTTTTCTCAGGAAGATAATTCAAGATAATAATTACAAGGGTAGGTGACCTGTGCCTGTCATAGCCAGTAGAGGCAAACTCAAAGTAGTAGATAGGAACTCTGAGAAAGCTATTACTAGCTTATTTTGTACAGGAAGCATAGATGCTCTACCCTATAGATTCTCACCGTTGGGGATACATCTTCATCATATTTCTTCAGCTGGTTCATGAATTCCAAGTGTTTTTTTTCTTCTTCAAGCTGTGCCACAGTTTGTTCACTGCGCTGCAATTTCTGCTGAGTGTTTGCTAGTTCGTCTCGTAGCCACTGGTTCTCCTGGCATAGTCTCCGCACCTGGGCCCGCAATTTCTGCTTTTCAGACTCCACAGCATTGAGATGGTTTGACAGAGCCATCATGACCTGGTCCAAGAGAAAAAAGGAAAAATGTCTGTCTTAAGAAATGTTTTTTTAAAAAACAAACTCTTAGAGGAAAAGAAAATGTACACACCACCAAACAAAATTCCAAGACTTGTAGGAAAATTGGTGAGCATATTTCTTATGGTCTTGGAACAAGCCAGGGGTAGAATTGAACAAAGAATTGGTTTTTAACTATTACAAAATAATGAAAGTTTGGACCTTAAACCAGTGTTGTGTAACATAAATCATCTTAGATGCCTGTTCCATTTTTTTTCCTTTGGAAAAAGAGAGAAGAACAGTGTTGCCAGAAAGGAGGAAAAGGAACAACAAATATAATTGGTTATTTCATCTCATTCGTATCAGCTTTGTAAGCCCTGCATTGTACATGAGTGGCTAAAGGTGTGTCATCTACATTTGCAAAGGCTAAACTTAATTTAAATAGATATATATACTTGCTATTCTGAATAATTAACCCCATTTTTCCTAAATCAAGAGAAAAGAAGCCAATGCTTGAGCAGATGGGCAAAAAGTGGAAACTCAAAGAAGTCCTCTCTGCTCATAATCAAGGGTCAATTACAGGTTTTAATTCTATCCATATACCTATTCAATTTCAATCCTATCCATACAATCATAAAACTAAAAACCAGCACTCAGAAGATGCAGTATTTACCAATGTATTCTGTGCCTGCTAGTTTGACTGTTCTGTACTTCATAAACAAAAGGTATGCTTTTGTTTATGTTTTTACTTAGTATGCATGTCCGCTCTAAACAGTGTATTTGAATCCTTATGTTTTCTGTGTTTGGTTTTGTTTTTTTTTATTCATGTACAAAATATAGCTCACCTGAGCTTCTCCAAGTCCCAACTCAATCATCTCCACTGACTTGCGCAGCAGGTTGGCTTTCTCGTGTACTAGATTGGCTTCTTCATCTTTCTTCAGACACTTGATAGTCTCCAGTAGGCTGTGCAAGATCGAGTTATGCTCATTTTTAAGGGCCTCCAGCCCTTGCATCACCAGTTTAGTGTTGGAGATAATCTCTTCTTGGCTTAGTTTGTCCATTTTCTCCTCCCTGGGGTACACCATAGTGGACATAATCTTTCAGTATTACCTCCATTTAAGGAAGAAAAAACAAAGGGGTTAGTACAGACCACAGGTTACTTAGACAACAGATTCTGAAAGATTAAACCAACAAAGTGATATTGTGAATAAAGATCTTATTCCCATTTTCATTTGAAAACTGGAAATGAAGGAAATTCCCACCATACTTGAAGACTGCACATCTTTGTAAAAGTGGCAATATGGTGCACAGCATGTTACTGGGAAGACCAGATGAAGGTAAAGATGGCAGTTGCATCAAAATTGACATTCTCTTACTGCCCCTGTAACCCTAGGAATCTAGAAGGTTGATTTAACTGTCATTTAAAAAACATAGGAGAAACTATGAGGAATTAAGACTTCCTTTCCAGTGATTAGCGATCTAGAATGAACAAACAGGAATAGGAACTAATGTTTCCAGTAAACTAACAGAAAGTACAGGGATTTTTTTTTCTTTTTGTTTGCAATTTTTACATTAGAGAACCTTTCTGAGATTAAGTAAATAGAAGTACAATTTAGGACGAAAAAGGGAGGAAGAGGAGAAGAATTGATGGTGGTCTTGATCCTTATACCACAGCCAAAAACAAGCAGGAATATTACTCACTGATGAGCGAAAATTTGGAGGCAAATGCTTAGCGTTAGGATTTGTGATAGTTAATTGTTCAACATGCTTAAAAATAAAATGATCCTGCTTCCAATCTAGACTCTGTCATTAACATGCATCTTTATGAACATCTTTGAAAAACTTAATTGCTAGGTCTTACTACAAAATAACAGGGTTTTTAAAATTATTATCCATGTGAGAGCATATTTAACTCTATTTATATATACCTGAAATCTAAAGCAAGTTGGAAGGAGAGTGACACAAGGAAAACCAGCCGGAAACATACCATTCAACAAATAAAAGCTGGTAAACTTTCACAAACACACAATACAACGTATGAATTTTATCTAGCTGTGCAAATAAAGTTTGCAAATGAAGATTCAAAGGAGAGGATTACAGGCACTGCAGGGAAAAGCATTGCTCAGTCTCACCAAGCCTTCTACTCTTTGTTATTAAAATCACAAAGAAATCAGATTTCTTTTCCTTTGCCAAGCCACTGCCCGGTTTAGTGAACCCCTGTTTGACTGATTCATCCACACCCCAAAGAAAAGACACTCCAACACACAAAGCACTTACATGTTTTAGCAAGGAACTTACCTCATAACAGTGGTTGGAGCAACCTGCCCCGTTGCTGCAGATAGAAAGAGGACAACTTGGGCCACGTGATCCGTTGGCAGCAGGCAAAGCTATTACTGAGCGCAGCCGGCCAGTAAGGAGGAAAAAAGGAGAAGAAAGAGGAAGATATCAGCAGATCTGCCTTTGTTCTCCGGTAGTCCCACCTCTGTGTGTTCAGGGTTCTTTGCTAGGCAACAGCCACCGCCCCCTCGTGGGAGAGACCAACAGGAAATCCCCCTCAACAATAACAAACCCAACCCACATAAGGATAATTGGAGTCCCCTTAGCACAGTCACCTGCTGTTCAGAAGAGGGCCAGAGCAATTCTATAAGGAAGTAGATGGGGATGCTCTGGTTATTTATTTTTCCCCCAAGAGGAAGAAAGGTGCATGTGTTTTTCTCTGTGAGTGCTCATAAGAATGAACCTGCATGACATTTTGAGGAAAGGAAAAAAATCCTTTTCTTTGATGAAAGAGGAATACTGATGGGATTCATACAAGTAACCAAAGTAGCTTAAAATGTAATTAAAAACTAAGCAATCATGTTAAGCCTTCATATAATTTATTTGTTTAGAAACAGCTTGTTATAGGAATACAGTAACCATAGGTGGTTGGTCTGGTGGTTCCGGGTTCAGAATGCTGCATGTACACAGCCAATGGATGCTACTGTAAGTTCCCTGGGAATCTTCCATGTACCACACAGAACAACATTCAACTTAACAGCTGAATTTGTTATTCTACAACCATGACACCACATCTTAATTGGGCTACTGTGGATACATTTGCATTTTGAGGATATGGCACTTTCCTAAATTAGCTGTCATTGGACTGATGGGGGAGGGATTTGTGCATTCCAAAAGTACACGCCACAGTGGCCATGGATAATCACAAAACAGACATCTGCCAGAAGGCAAACTGCTGAGGTTTTACTTCTCAATATCCCATCTGGCTGCTCTTCCTGCAAAATGCTTTCTAACGCTCCAGCTTACTTTATATATATATATATTTTAGAATTAAACACAGCAGTGGGTGTTAGTCACCCACCGTGTTTATTTTCCAAGAATACTTAAGGGACCCTATAGGCAGCCTATTCTTGGAACTGAAAACTATGCTGGGTGTTGTTTTGTGACGACTTCTGGAAGCCGACTACCTTTACAATAAATTAGAAATTCTAAACAAATTAGGAAAATATACAGGGCATGGCTTCTGGAAACCTCTCCACCCCCTTAAGACAAGCTCAATCTATTCTGGGTCACATTACGAAAAGAGAACAGTGTTTATGAATGAAGCAACCAGAAGCCTTGCAAGTTACTGCCCAAATGCCTCTCCCATAGGGATGCATTGGGAATTTCTTTCTGATTTTTTTTTTCTCTGCAGACCCTAATTGGATCCAGCTCAATTTCAAACTCAAATTTCTTTTGCTGGTTTCTCCTGCCACACCAAATTTGGTCCCATTCTATCCAGGTTTGACAGTTTCCTGCTGATGAGTAGCCAGATGGGCAGAGGCCTGACACCGTTTGCATCATTTATTTTCAATGTTCCATTTGGGTAGGAAACAGTAAAAAAAAAAAAAAAAAAAGGCACAAACTTTTGGCCTAATGCCAATGCAGGTATCTGTGCATTATCCATATATTTCCATCTCATATTCTAAAAAATAGGGAATCAGCTATTGTACATTTTTTTCTTCCTCCTAGCATTTCTTGGGAGGCTCCTAAAGGCAAGCTGAAAGTATTCTAAGGTAAAGGTTCCTCTCGCACAATCTGCTAGTCGTTCCCAACTCTAGGGGGCGGTGCTCATCTCCATTTCAAAGCCAAAGAGCCAGCGCTGTCTGAAGATGTCTCCGTGGTCATGTGGCCGGCATGACTAAAAGCCAAAGGCGCACAGAATGCTGTTACCTTCCCACCAAAGATGGTCCTTATTTTTCTACTTGCATTTTTTACGTGCTTTCGAACTACTAGGTTCGCAGAAGCTGGGACAAGTAACAGGAGCTCACCTTGTTACAAGGCACTAGGGATTCAAACCGCTGAACTGCCGACCTTTTGATCGACAAGCTCAGCGTCTTAGCCACCGCGTCCCTGAAAGTATTCTAGTAGAATCTAATATGAATGTCTGCAACCTACTCTTACATTTTGCTTTAAATACACAGACATCAATATGTCCCCTTTTTCTACTTCCCCTCCTAACTAATTTACCATCAGTTATCTTCCTAAATTCATGTGAAGATCTATCCAAATATTTGTACAGATGTTAATAGATTTTCAGAAGCATTCTTTGATGTAACTTGCTCTACTATGGGTATTCCAACAAGTTTGGCATCTCCTATTCAAGGCTGAGCTAAAACAAATAAAATTATCACAAAATAATTTAGGAATGTCTGATAAGTAATTTATCTAATCTATTTATTTATTTTCTACAGCACTTAAATTCCAGCCATTGTATATCAAGAGCAAGATTCAGGCCTAGCCCAAGAACGACATAGAAAAATTCAGCCAAAGTTCAGTTTTTTATTTGTTGATACCAAATATACCAAATCTTGCCAGACAAAATCTTTACTACTCTCACCCAGATGGATATACCCTGAGGTATTCTAGGAAGTGGCTATCCTTTCTTCGTCTGTCTCATATCCAACTCCAGATTGTGTTGCCTCTTGTCTCATCCCCCTCCTAGGAATGTCTTCCCTTCTTTCTGGGAAACTACAATTCGCTGAGGTCTATCACACCACCTCCTCCTCTAGAGGCACTTTCCCTCAGATCAGGAAGCATTTACAGTAAAATCAAACTCCTCCTGCCTGGGCTATCTAAATTGGTTAAAGCAGCAGCCCCCAACCTTTCCAGTTTGGCAACCCAGCCTGGTGCCAGGATGATGTGAGTGGCAGGTACACAGCTCCATGTGTACAAGCAGTGGGTACGAGTGACCTCCACTCATGCGGAGCTTCGCGTGCAAGTAAGAGGGTGCTTGTGCTCATGTGTGAAGCTCCACTCGCCTGAGCGGCAGTCACTTTTGCATTCGTGCGTGAAGCTCTGCTTGTGCGAAAAGAGGACACTAAAGCTCCACTCATGTGAGCATCCTCCATTCACGTGAGTGGAGCTTCGTGCGAGTGCACTTGCCCATCTTTCCCATGGCCCAGTTTCGAATAGATCGTGGTCCAGTAGTGGGCCATCACTCGAAGGTTGGGGACCCCTGGGTTATAGTACCCTCTGTGGGTGGGAAGCCTAAATTCTTTTTATCTATTTCGGCACAGATAGATTTGACATCAGATTGCTTTCCTCTAACCATTTAAGAACTATTGAACAACATAAGATCATATACCTGCCTTATGTATAATTCTTTTGAGACTTTGAGTCAATCTTGACTCCTAATGACTGTCTGAACAAGTCCCTGTAGTTTTCTTGACAAGGTTTGGCAAGAAGTGATTTTGCCCCTGCCTTCTTCCTAAGGTTGAGAAAAATTTCTATTGAATCCAAAATTCTATTGAAGTTATAATCCATTAGTGATTGTAGGCAAAATGTAAGTTGGATTCACTACCAAATAGCAATAGCAATAGCATTTAAGACTTATATACCATTTCATAGTGCTTTACAGCCCTCTCTAAGTGGTTTACAGAGTCAACGTATTGCCCCCAACAATCTGGGTCCTCATTTTACTGACCTTGGAAGGATGGAAGGCTGAGTCAAGCTTGAGCCAGGTGAGATTCGATCTGCCAAACTGCTGGCAGCCGGTGATCAGCAGAAGTAGCCTGCAGTACTGCACTCTAACCACTGTGCCACCGCGGCTCACAAACCTATGAGATGCCCCCTACATATAACTGCTTAAAGTGTAAGAAATGTTCACAGAAAGTTGAACTGAAAATGTTTTCCACCATTGTTTCTAAAGTGTTCTATTATATATTAGACTAGAGATAGAGGTATTCTACTCCTACCTTAGACAAAAGCCAGCTGGATGACCCTGGACTAGTCATTTTCTCTCAGCCCTAGGAAGGGGACAATGGAAAACTATTTCTAAAAAATCTTGCAAAGAAAACTGCAGGGACGTGTCCAAGCATTGGACATGATTGAATGGGGGGGGAAGGGAGTCTTATAGTTTTATTATTTTAACTAATTGTAATGTATTTATTTTTAAAATCTCTTCTTGTAAGGCTTACTGATAATCTGAATGATCTGGATACATAATATGACATTCATCTTTTCTTAATACTCAGTGAATCATATTAAAATAGACTTATCATATCACTATTGCACAATCCAGTAAAAAAAATGTTTACTGATCCTTTTTAAATAATAAACTAGTCTATACATGTTTCAATAAAGGTTATTTGAATTCCAATTTAGTTCTGCACCCTTGGGCTATCAATTCCTATGACTAAAATATAGGTATGGAACGGGGAAAAAATATGTTCACATTTTGTGAAGCAGTTTATAAAATATATGTCCTCCATCCTTATTTCTATACATATGTTGGCTAGGGAAGAATCATCAAAATAAAATAGAGAAGTAGTAATGTATACAACTTAATTAGTGTGCAAAGTTTTTGAGATTCCATCATCAGTTGCAGTTCTATTTGAAGCCTTAGTAACTATAATTCACACCCTGATTGCCACATGTAAAGAATCTAGGAATGCACTTTACATGGAGGTACCTCTGAAAATGAATTAAAAATTATAGTTGGTACAGAATGAGGTAGCCAACATGCTAACAGGTTAAGACTACTATGTAAGCATAAATCTATTCTCTAGTGACTAGTCACTCCAAGAAATGCCGGTAGACCTTGAAGTCCAAGGAAGTGCTGGTTTTGACCTATAAAGCTCATTTCCAGGGTGCCTTAGAGCAGAGGTCCCCAACCTTTCTGGCTTTGCGGACTGGCTGGGGAGAGGGGATAGTTCTGTGTGGGCGGCGGGCAAGCGCATGCCCGAGAAGCTCCATTTGCATAAGTGGTGGGCACATGTGCATTCATCAGAAGCTGATGTTATAGTCCCAGTGAAACTCAAAATTGTAACAAGCTGTATTGTTCCAGGAAGATAAAGTAGCCACCATAAGTGGACTTATACTTTAAGATAGATATTATATAGCAAACAGATAATGCAAGACCATTCCAGCTTAATATTTGAAGTTGCCAAAAAAGCTAGTCTAATCATGCATAGTTTTCTGCCACCATTAGCTTTTCCACCTTTTGATTCCTGCCAAGTGCTCCATTTATTTTCACTGTAAAAATAAGTTAAGCCCTCTAGGTACTTTGTCAAAAAGAATGGATAGCCTCTTATTTTTGTCCAATAGCTCTCAATGCTGACATATCCACCCAAAAGCATCTCACTGTATATCAGACTTGTTTTCCATAAAAATATCCTTGAACAAAATGATGCTTCAGGAATTGCAAGGTAATAAATATTTATAGAAAAGAGGAAAAACAACAGGGCAGCAATTGCTGATCTGAGTTCCTTCCCCACCAGAGACAGAATTACTATCCACAGGGTGATTTACCTCTACAGCACCAATAGCAGCAGAAAAAATATGAAAATCGATTGCCAAGAAATAGAGGGTGCCCAGATAAATACTGGTACTAATCTTGTGATAGCAAGGAAAACTAAGGAGCAGAAATCAGCATCCTTTTAGACTGCCCATCCTGTATCAAATTCATCCTTGCCCCTTTACAGCTATCTTCCTTTCTTCCAGCAGAGGCCATTTATAGTTCTTCAAAGCCAACTTCAGTATGTTATTCAATGCTCCATTCATCAAGAATCTCGTTACAGAGCAAGTACTTTGAGTAGAAACAACAACCTTTCAGGGATCTATTTGGGAATGTAATCAGTCTTTGTTTATAGCAGAGTTCCCCACATGATGCCTTTCACCCATTGTGTGGATACTTCGTCAGCATAATTGTTTATCCCTTGATGTATAGAGCCTTTCTTTACCTGCATCTAACCACACGTCTTGGCAATATCTTTTTTCTAATATGTCTTCATTATGATGCTTTTGCCTCTTTTTCATCCCTGTTAAAGTAACATTTATCCAAGGCAGCATCATTTGCTTTATCATCCATTATCTTGGAGGGAAGAGAGGTGACTACAGTGACTTGAAACAAAGGCAACAAAAGAGAGAGGATAATGATCAGCAACGAGGACAGTAAACGTCATCCCTGGAAATTGCATTTTTTTTTTCTTTCTTTCAGTTCAAAGATTGCTGGACTGAACGTCCAACTAAGCAGTGGGGAAAAATCCATCAATCATCCAAAGAGCTAAACTTGAGCCCTTCATGCAATACTAGATCACAGAAAATGTTTTAATGGGGCAATACTCATGAAGAAATCTAAACACTTTAATTTCTATTTGATACGTACAAATGATCATTCCTCATTACATCCTATTCCTGATCAGAGGCTTAAAATTGCTCGTACACTGTTTGCAAATATACTTTTGTTTGTTGCCCAAACTGGCTATTTTACAAAATGCCAACGACTGCTAAATTAAGAAACTGATCACAGAAGCCATTTTGCTCATTAGAGAAAAGATGGGGTACAAAAATTAGTAGTAAGAAGATGGGCACAGAATCTTGAAATGTATTGTGTAATCCTGTACAAAAAAAGAGGCATTCTATAAAAACATTTTTGAATATTTTGGATTTCAGATGAAGATTTGTTCCTTGGACCATTGAGATTTGAAAAAAGGAACAGGCTTTTAAGCATAATGTCCTTGCAAGAATTATCCTTGATAGAACGATTCCCACAAGACTCCTTGCTCCTAATCAGTCATGCTTGGGTTAGAAGAGATGCTATTACTCCTAGAATATTTAAACTGTAGTCCTACTATTTATTTTATGTGATATTTTAATTATTTTTATCAGTTACTCTGCTAAATTCCTTGTGGTTCTGTAAGATTATTTTCCCTCTTCCAGATGTTACAGTAATGTCTTTTTAATTGCAATGCAATCTAGACCTGCTTCTAGTCATTGTTCTATCTCTGCCTATCATGAGAAGATCTTTCATATTCTTATAAAGCAAGATCTTATCTTCCCTTATTTTCCTTGTTAAAATCATGAACTAAAAAGAAATCCATGAAGCCTCAGCCTCAAATCTGAAGGCATGACAAGACCAAGACACACATATGTCAGTCTTCTACTGCTGTCACTTTCTAACATATCTTCAGGTGATATGCAGGGTTATAATATATTTTGGACCCTGATGAAATATAGGCACAACCAAAACTTTAAGAAGTTGAAAGCAGAATTAGATTTTGCTCCAAGTAGTAGATTGGTTACTATAACATCCAAATATAAGGCAGCCTTGTTTGTTGGTTATATGAATTGAGTGGAAATGCAAGACTTTTATTCTACTGCTGAGTAAATATTAACTCTGCCCTCTCATATCAAAGATGGCTTAGTTCCAACCACACCCAACTGCTAATGCATCTTGGCTTTCTCTAGCTAGCTGCATGCTGAACTTTACATTACATTACATTAATGAATATTAAAATTTAAATGTGGTCTAAGAGCAAAAGGAAAAGGAAAGCTAATGTTGCATGTAAGTGCAAGCTGGTCAAAGCTATCTATATTCTATTAAAACTCTCCTGTCTATTTATAATCCTCAATTAATGGGGCACTGCAGCACATTTTTTTAAAAATTCAAGTACCTCAAATCGGTTAATTTAAAGAACATGTACAAATCCAGGACCCAATACTCCCGTGTTATTAACATTTCCAGGATCTTCACAACAGTTGTATTCAGAAAATTGTGGCTGCAACATTGCTGCAGTTATCCGCAGTCATGTGATTTGCGATTTCGGATGCTCCCTGCCAATTTCTAATGAGCAAAGTCAATAGGAAGCTGGCAGAAAGTGGGAAGTTGATTCCACTCTGCATTTTTGCCACCTGACCATCATTTTGTTTCTCTGTTTAGGTAAAGAAATATTTCTGAAAGAATGACCCTATGGGTCGTAGGTTGTTTAGTATTCCTCTAAAATCCTGAATCACTAGCCTCCAGAAGTTATGGGTACTCCAACACTGGAGATTTTTAAGAAGACACTGGACAATAATTTGACTGAAATGGTATAGGGCAGGAGTCTCCAATCTTGGCAACTTCAAGTCCACAAGTCTTAAAGTTGCCAGGATTGGAGACCCCTCATATAGGGTCTCGTCTTGAACAGGGAGTTATTTAGAAGACCTCCAAGATCCTTTCCAACTCTGCTACTCTTTTATTCTGTTACTATGACTAAGTGTCCTCCAGTTAATATCCATAGGATCAATCAGAAAATGCAGTAACCATCCTTTTTAGTATAACAATATTATTTTTAATAACCTACTTTTTAGGTAAATGGACTCGTTATTTATAACAATTAACATTTATTACATATATACTAAGCAGGGCTGCATAGAAATCTGGATTCAAAGGACAAAATGTGATTTGGAACAGGTGTATGTGCACAACACAGCAATCAGGAACACCTTAAAGCAGATAGACCTTTTATTTGGACTGAAGAATATATCCCAAAACTGGCAAGCAATCTTGGGAAAAGACATTTGGTTAAAGTGTTCCTGCAGATTCTGCAGCCACACGAACATATATACTCCAAGCAGAAAACAATGACATAATCAAGAACTAGCAAGGAGAAAACCACAGCTCATCAATATTAGCAGGGCAAACTATTGTATATAAATAGAGAGCAAAGTTCACACTCACTAGTGCTGATGATGTTACCTATTTAGGTAAAGAACAAGCAAACAACAAAGCTCAGAGAGAACCAAGAACTCTATAAGAAAATGACTTGGGGGGGTGGGGGGGGGGGGAGAGGATAAAAGAATGATATAGAATATGTATAGTGTGAAAAAAACAGTGGGAAAGAACATGGGTCAAAAAAAGAAATAAACATTTAAGTCTGCCTATTTTAAAGAAAATGTAGGGTGATTTTGATACATTTTTTTTAAATGGAAAGGTTGACTTAGTCAGTCATCAGCAGAATGAATAAAATTAAGTGTTGAAAATAATTGAGATCAAACTGAAAGAAGTAAAAAAGAGAAAGGAAGAGAAATATTTTAGAGATTTGTATATAAATAAAAGTAATATGTTGTAATGAAATTGAAATAAACCTTTTAACTATTAGTGTCGAAGAAAAAATATCTAATTTTCTTTGCAGCAATTATAAGAATTGTAAATTTACCTCTTTAATGACTCATGTTCTTTCAAATTAGCAAAACCACAAATTGTTAACTTTTATGTTTTACACAAAAAAGTCTTAAACAAATTTGAAAACTCCTGATCCATATGTTGCCTTCAAAGATTTTTATCTGTTTATCTGTTACAGATAAAGAATATGGAATCCCTACAAAAAGTGCTCTTAATGGGAATGTGTATTTGTCAAATACTTAAGGCTCTTACATTTGGAAGTATCTTGTTTGATTTAATGCCTTGAATGGATTCAAGATCAGATGCAATGATAAATTACAGTATGTCTGTTCCTCTCAAGTTTTGTATACTATTGCATTGTGCTAGGCTTTCATCTGCCATCTGCCTTAAATATGTAGTATGATATATTTCCAGGCCATCTGTACTATCAAAAGCCCAAATGATGCTCTGGAAAGCTAGAGAGACAACATGTGGAAACAACATTTATTCCTCAACCAAGCAACATGGTACTCCCAATAGAACAAAGATTTGTTTTCGTCCCTTCTCTCTTACAAACTCAGTTGCCATACTAGAGGGAGAAAAAGAGATACTTTAACCCAGTGTTTCTCAACTTTAAAGAGCTTTAAAATGTAAGAACCTCAGCTTTAAAATGTAAGAACCTCAATGCCCAGAATTCCCCAGCTAGCTGTGGAACACTGAAATAGCCTAAAATTAGAGTAGGTAGGCAATCTGAAGATGCTTTTATGCATGGAAAAAGCCTCAATTCCTCTGCTAAATCTTGGCAGACATGTTCAGAACAGGGAAGACTGCTCCAATAGATCTGGGAAATCTTTCAACAGTACCAAGAGAATATTTTATTGTTTTTATTTATGTTGCCCATTTTCCACACAAAACTTATTCATGCTGACCATACAGATCTCCACAGCTTAATTCAGAAAGAAATGCCTCTAATCTGCACAGAACAATAGTAGCTCTGTTGTTAGGCAGAAATAGGCACCCACATGCTGTCAAGCACCATACCAACCTGCATCAACAATTCCTATTAAAACATGGGAAATACTGCAATCCTTTGGCTGTGAAGTAGTTATACCACTGGGAAACAGCTTTAACAGTAATCTGAGAAAATGTTATTCAGATAAACAAAGATATGCTCAAGTATGCAATGCCGAAAAATGAAAAGCCAAAATACACCACAAGATTACTGCACAATAATCCATTCATGGCACCCTGCAGCAAGTTGGAACAGCCAGTATCACATGAAAGGGGACCAGTGATTTAGCTGCACTTAGTACCTATATACTGATGTAGGTCTAATTTAAATTGCCTGTTTCTCCTCCAAGCTAGTTAAATAACAGACCACAGAAACTTGTCTAGAGAGTCACCGTATACATTCTAAAAGACAAACCAACTGCTGCAGTTTGTCATAGCCATATGAAATACAAAGAATAAGGAAGAACAGAAATTACCTGGAAGCTACGTCTAATTGCATCAGCAATGGGAGATGAGTTAGGTGATCCTGCTGAAGGACCCATGAGGAAATTATTCTACCACCTGCCTGGATATGGATACGCTACCACTGCTGGGGGAATGGCCAGCAGCATCAAATGGAAATATAAACTAATTAGGTTGTCAATCATACTAGATACAGCAATCTGAACATCTTGAAACACTGTAGCATCCAATGAAACCGCTATCAGTCATCATTTAGCAATTTTCTTTCATCCTTTTTTTCATTCTACCAGCCTTTTGTCACTCACTCACTCACTCACTCTCTCTCTCACACACACACACACAAACAAATATTAAGTGCTATGCCCATCAAAAATAATCCAACTTCTTTATAAATTAGTTGGAGACATCCTTCCAACTACACAAACTAGACATTTAGTCGGTATTTCTAGTAAGTCTTCTTATCTCTCTATATACCAACAGGAAATGGTTATTCCTCCTTCTGGTTGAAGCTACAGCTTTAATTGTTCACAATTTAAGGAAAAATTCAAAATTTTTGTATGCTACCAAATAACTTTTTAGTGTTACAAAAAGATACAAAATAGTTTCATAGCTGTTTTAGAATCTAAAAACAGAATGGATAGCATAGGGCAAACCAATCTGCAGATTGTAAAAATTAGCCTCACAATATAGTCTTTACTTTTTTGATGTTATTTTTTAACAGACAGCTGTTATATTCAAATATAATAAATTATTTCTAAAACAACATTTGAGTGGAAGAAAAAAGGTCATAACCATTTCCAAATTCTTAATGTGAATTGTAATCGAACTGATTTTGCATATATGGGTATTGCTTTATAATAACAAAAACCAATTATTACCCTTATTATATTAATTTTAAAAAATGCCTAAAATTTAAAACCTAGAAATGTGCATCTAAAATCAATTATTTCACAAACCTCTTGGAATTGTGTGCTATATATGTCATTTGATAATAGTGTCTCTTGAAATCTAATTTGGTAAATGACTGTCAACCTGCTGTCTTCTTTATAATTCCAGTAAAGAAACTGCAATGGAATGAATGGCAGAATATAAAGCAATGCTTACATCAATTGAATACTTTGAATTATTTCTTTTATATAAGCAGCTTTTGGCTTACGATAGAAATTCTCAGGATTAAAAAAAGAAAAGAAATCTAAGGAGAAAACACTGGGGAGACATTCAATCAGTGTGCTTGACTTGCAAATTAAAGCATTATTCACCCTTCTTGCTCTCATCTTAAATAAGAATCTTCTGTACAAAGACCATGAGTATAAATACACATTTTCCAAACCAATTTACTGTTTATTTGGTAGTACACTGGAACCTTGAGAAAGCGTGAGATTTTCTAATGTTCCCTCCCTCCTGCCCCCAATTTCCTATTGTAAAATCTTCAATCTCATTTTGGCCTTTCTATAGTAATACTCCAAAGCTCCTTGGGAAGGTTGGCCCTTGAGCTTTTGGGAACATGAATTTACAGCAGCCCAACCACTTTGTGCTTGTGCACCAATTTAACTAGCAGACTGGTTCCTATAATGAATCTGGGCTTTTTTATATCAAACAACTTAAACTTCCCAAAACCAGTCTCCTCCAACCTAATGCCTTCCTGATGTGCTGAAGTATGCTGTTTGAGGACTGTACACCGGCATCTACACTATGAAAAGCTGCAATTTGCTAAAATTCAATCATTTAAATAGGGCAAGGTTCAAATAATACAATAAAATAATGTAAAACAAGGACTCTGGTGTATAACCTAGACTGTCACTTCAGCTGTGTGATTCATTAATTAATGCTACTTGGGAAATGTGGCCAAAGCAGCTACCTGAAATTATCATTACTATTTTATACTTATTGCCCTTCACAACTCCCAATATTCATAGTCTCTTTTGCCCAGCAAAGTAACAAAACTAATGTTTCAGTGAATCACAAATCAATATTATCATATTTGGCATTCTATTAACTATTTACAGAGCAATTTGAAGTTTGCTTGACCATTGTAAGTCAGTATCATTTGCAACTTTTGCTATTTCACTCCCTACTCCAATTTATTCAATGTAACAGTTCCAATATAAGCCCAGAAGAAACAACCGGAAGTTGTCAAACGGGCTGTTTTCAGCCTCCAGAGGACCTTGGGGGGGGGGGTGTCAGGAAGGCCGTTTTCGCCCTCCTCAGATTCCTAGAGAGGCCCTGGAGCCAGGTGAGAAAAATGGACTTACTGGGCCATCACGCCAGGAGCGGGGGTGGGGTGTCATGCGTGCATGCGTGGGGCAGGGCGCATAGAATTATGGGTGTGGGCATGTGCACATGTGACTCCCCTGCCCCCCAGGCATGCAATGGCAAAAAGGTTAGCCATTACTGTTCTAGAAGACAAGCATCAAGATATCAGAGGAGACTGATGTGTACTACATAGTTTGTTTTGTTCCCCTAAACTATCCTAAAATATAGTACAGTACATCAACACTGAAGAGCAGTAATTTTTTTCCTTCTGTTCAATTATGTCCAATTCTTGCAGACTGCTTGAACAGGTCATTGCAATTTCCTTGACAATTTTTTTCAAAAGTGGTTTACCACATTGCCTTCTTCCTAGGACTAAGAGAAAGTGACCGAATTGGGGCCACCTAGCTGGCTTTGTGCTCAATGGGGACAAGAATTTACAGTCTTCTGGTTTCTAGCTTGATGCCTTAATCATACCAAACTGGATCTCTACTATAGCCCAAACAGGTATTATATGTGAAATAAGAATGGACACCATTATTCTTCTGGGTTTCTAGCGCCCATGCGCGTGCGACCATTGCTGGCCTTTTTGTGTGCGGCTGTGCTGGAAACTTATTTATTATTTATTAGTCCAATTTATATGCCGCCCTTCTCCGTAGACTCAGGGCGGCTTACAATGCATTATAGCAATAGCCTGCATACTTTTTTGTATATACCTGCTTATTAGGGCTTTCGACCCCCCCCAAGCGGTGTTGTTCTATACAAAGTTGGCTTATTGCCCCCACAATCCGGGTCCTCAATTTACCTACCTCGAAAGGATGGAAGGCTGAGTCAACCTTGAGCCTGGTGAGATTCGAACTTGCACTAATTGCAGGCAGCTGGCAGCTAAGTGCTAGCACTTAACAGCACTTTAGTCCGCTGCACCACTGAGGCTCTTTTAAGAGCTGTAAGAGCTAGTCTTCCATTTTCCTGTGTGAGCATGCGCGCTGGCCAGCTGATTGTTGTGCACGCACGCGGGCCAGAAACCCAGAAGACTAGCTGGCCAGAATCTGCATGCGCACCAGAAATGGAAGTTTATTTTTGGGCGCGCACATGTGCCCTTGGCAGCTCCTCTTCCAGGTTGTGGCCCAGATGAATGCGCCAAGCGTGCGCGCTCCCACTCCCTTTTTGGCATTCAGTGCCAAAAAGGTTTGCCATCACTGGCTTAGGTAATCTAACTTTTATGTTTCTTTCTTCAGATAGAGGATAAAACATAAATGATGTATTTATAAGTATATGCATAATTATTCAAGTTCATCTCTTTATCCTTTTTGGCTCAATATCATTTTCAGAAAAAATATATTGCATTACAGCACCTCCTTGCTGCTCTCTAGTAGTACCAGTTTCTAATTATTGTTTCATTTCCATTATTACATGCATGCTGTTGGAACTGTAGGCCAATATACTTGAAAGTCAATTTCTAGAAGTGCAAGAAATAACATGGTAACAATATAGAATCTATACAGAAAAAAGAGTCGTAGTAATCACTTTGTGGTGAGATTGGCAGCAAACAAATATAAATAATAAATGTACCAGAAGCAACTAGCCAGCTGGAGTTGGGAGACAACTCTTGCTTAGATGGCAAAACTGATCATCATCACCACTCCCATCTTCTGTTAAATGTAACAAAAAGTTACACTTAAGATCAAACAGAAATATCTTTTGTTTTGATATCACATTAAAAAAAAAGACTTTCAAAAGATGAAAACTTTCATCATATGTAATATAAACTACATATATCTAATTCTGGATATGATTACATCTGAAAATAATTATTTTTAAAGGGCTGCCTAAAGTTTTAACATGGAAGAATCCATTAAATTTCCATTCTGCAGGATGGCACAGCCCACAGCTACACAAATGCAATAGCATCATGATTATATATATAGAAAGTGCCACATACACATGGAACCTTGCAATTAAGCATGCCAGCTCCTCCCAAAACTGGTTTCAAAGATCAAAAATTTCAGCCATCTGAATGATTCATAAAAGAGTGAACTGTAACAGAAGTCCATACAAAAGATTATTACATAGCCCTGAAATCTTTATATAAAGGAAATAAGAAATGATAACAGAGTTATAAAAATATTACATCACAGGATTCACTTTACCACATTGTAGCTATAGAAAATATAGCAGATACATTTAAAGGGTTCTCTTGCATCAAAGAAGAGAATCGGGGAAGGAAAACACCTAAACAAGAACTTGTAGTTATTATTTCCAGAGTTGTGATCTCCAACCCATCATTTTATCCCTGGTTCTAAACACTTCAACTTTTACAGTGCAAATTTGGTGGGAAATATTTATTTAATTTAATTGGACTTAATTGCAACACAATTACAAGTTAATATTGCAACAACAACAAAACAAAAAATACAGAGCAGACTGATTCTAAACCCATTCACCATAGAGCTCAGGCGTAATAATATTCCAAGAGGATAAAGGTCTGTGATATTAGAAGGTACGTCAACCCTTATCCAACATCCCTAAAGGAATCCAAAACCTATCCTAGCAGCAGCTGTTTTGAATCATTTTTGTAGACAGTAGAGAAGACAGCCGGATCGGCTCCTCCTCTCTCACAAATTAGGCAACCACTGTCAGCAAAGGAGCAGCACCTGCCCCATAGCCTGGAGACCTGCCTTTTGCTGTGCCAGCAGTGCAGAGACACACCCTTCCAGAAGGAAAAACAATGACAACTGAACCACAAATAAGGAGTTGGCCACAGGGATTGTGCGCATGTGGGTGGTGGTGGTGGTGGCAGCATTTGAGACATGATGTCTAAATGTCTAATCATGTGCCTCCAGGCTAAATGTACGCCCGGATTCACCCTAGCATCCAATTGCATCTGTAAAGGCAAAATAAAAAAATAAAAATCAGAGTCCTCCTAATTCCCCTATTATATAAGAAGGAAAAGGAGGGTTTTAAAATGCAGATGGATTAGCCCGCTCACTTAAATTGTGTTTACTTCCATAAAATATGTCTATGGAGACTCTTCCACAAAACATCCAACGCCAGTGTAAAATTACATAAGCGCCTGTGCAAAAACCGTTGTTTTTCAGCCAGTTTTGTAGCTTTTTTCTCTCTCACCCGCTTCTGCCCGGGGGTTACTCTGGAGCCGCCCCCGCCCCCCATCTACCACCACAACCTGTCTAACCGACGTTATGCTCGTCTGCCAGACAGGCTAGCCGCTAAGCTGCTTCTCGGGCCAAGATGGGCGCTTTCCACGAGGATAACTCACCACGTCCCCGCCTCCGTAAGAGAGAAAGAGGCACGGAGAAGCTCCTACCTGGGCCTCCTTCGGGTCTCTCAAGAAGAAGAATCAGAGGATGGAGGAGGAAGCGCGCATGCGCTTAACAGACTCCCGGTCTCCCCAAGCCGCTCCGGCCGCTCCTGAAAGAAGAAAAACAGTTCCCACTCTGGCTCCTCCCCATTTTGCCGCAGCCCCTTTAAGTCCAATATGGCCGCCAGGGCGATACCCGGTCGCGTCCCGAAATGCATCTGGATAGCTGATTTTTCCCTTTAAGGGTGGAGACGAGGGGAGAGGGCGCGGAGCGGTACGCGATGTAATTAATAAGCTAGTTGAGTGATTTTTGAACTTTGGCAACTTTAATACCCACACTTTTTTAAATTGCCAAAGTTCAAAACAACTGAGCTAGGCTTTGATTAATTGTCCCAAAGGTGCTTTTTTTCAGGAGGCAACTGGACTTTGTTTTTTTTTTCTTTTGAAGACGTTTCGCTTCTCATCCAAGAAGCTTCTTCAGCCCAAGAAGCTTCTTCATTCAGCTTGGATGAGAAGTGAAACGTCTTCAGAAGAAAAAAACAAAGTCCAGTTGCCTCCTGAAAAAAAGCACCTTTGGGACAACCATGACCTGGATGACTGAGAATCTCTACAGACTTTTAGCTATACAATTTGGGATGAGCACCCTTTGAATGGTGTGGGAGTAGGAATGGATTTCCAGAGGAAAAATTGCAGAACAAGAACCAGGAACACAACTCAGGTGATCCTGAGGACACAGATAAACCTCCAAGCGTTTCAACGACCCTTTTAAAGGATGCAGATTACCAGCTGTCTGCAAGGAATATACCGGTAAATCCTTCCATTCCCCGCTATCCTGTCAGAACTGAAGAAGCTTCTTGGATGAGAAGCAAAAGGTCTTCAAAAGAAAAAACAAAGTCCAGTTGCCTCCTGAAACCCGTCTTTTATCAAGGTTGGTAACGAGGTCTGATTCCAATTACTGGCTCCGGGCTGCAAAACCCCATACGACTCGTACAGCGTTAGAACTTGTAAATGGGTTTGCCGCTATCTAGCGTTTGCGAGGACTTTTTGCAGGCCACCTTCGGCCCTGCTCCTGTCCCTAAAAGTTGGTTCAGGGGGGGAAAGAATTAGCCGCTTTTTTTTTTTTTGGCATGAATTTTACTCCCAAAAGAGCCAGAGCGGGCGCAATGAAATCTAGCCTCGACTAAGGATCATATTGTCAAGCGACTATCTGCCAAGGAGAATCTATCGAATGGGCTACGATGTCTTTTAATTGCAACAAATTAAAGCCAGGCTGTTTCCGATAATAGGAGATCGGAAACTTCACTTCCGAAAATTCTGTCCGCCAGTTTTAAAGTCAGAGGAACTCTACGCCCGAGAACAACAACAAATCCTTTACGGTACACATCCAATCAAATAAGATTTAATAAACCGAATAGTTCTGGATAGATCGCCAGAAGATTGCGCCGCTATTTTTCTTTCCCTAACATGTTTGAACAAGAAAAGAGCCAACCCATTTTGAATCGAGATTCTACATTTCTTGAACGTGCATTCGGAGGGGGACAGGTTGTGAGTCTTATGTATGGTAACAGAAAAGATTAAGCAGCTCTTCTCTTAAGTGGGACTTCAGTTCCCACCATTCCGACTATTGCTTTCCTGGCCGGGACGATGAAAACTGCAACCCAACCACATCTGAGAATCGAACTAGTGAAAGCCAGATCCCTTCTACACCAAAGCCACCGGGGAAGTCAAAGCTTTCCGCTTCTTCATATTGTTCTTCCGGGTCAGAGTGCGCATGCTCCGGTTTGGGGAGGGCAGAACGAGACCGCGATATGGCTCCGCTGTGAAGTGCGATTGTGGGTAGGTGCAGGCGGATCGGGAGAACTTCGTTCCTCCAAAGAAAAATATTATTCCCGGAGTATCCCTTCTGTAACCCAAAAGAGACTACTCTGTAACATTTTCAAGTTATAAAAACATCTTCGCTCAATTCATTCTGTGCGTGATCTTAGGGGAGAGGGAGAAATTAATACAAAGTCAGTGGGACTCAAATGATTTATGACTATAAAGAGAAAACCATGTCTCCTGACTTCAGCTAAATAAAGTGAGAAAGATGGCAGCGAAGTGTGTTTTTGCAAATATGACCGCGATCCTCTGCAAAGGATTACTTAAGGATAAGGTTGCTATTTCAAATCTGCCTTTTAGAGTACAATGCGGTTCATCCTCTGCAATTAATTGTCCTGTACAACAATCTATCAAACAGGAATATTACAAATATAAAATATATTTCCCCTGCTTATGCACTAATAATACAATTCTTTGGGAATGCATTCATTAACAACCCAGTCTGCCAGTTCCAGCTGCCTATGTGTTCTGTATCAGACTAAGAAAAAGGGGAAAGACTGTGATAGACCTGAATAAAAGTAGTCTGATCGTGTTAAGACCATGAATATATGGAAGGAATTGGAAGATGTAGTTTTGCTTATGAATGAAAGGGTTAAGATATATGTGTTAACTCTAATGGTCATTGTCTTATTTCTCTCTACAGCAGAAAACAAGTAGTTATTCCTAATGGCAGTATCAAACTTGATCCGGAACTTTGGTTCCTTGCTGCTGTCTTCAAGTCCTCATCATCTTCCACAGGTATATTTACTTTGCTGTTTTGGCCAAATGGATTATAAATTGTACAGGATTCTGGATCTTTTTCTAGTAGTGTTCTTCTTCCAAGCAAATATCTCTAATATAGCTCATATATGAGCTCAAGGAGAAAAAATGGGATAGGAATGTAATACTATCTTTTTATTCTGCTTTTATTCTTTCTGAGTAGAATTACTTAGTGGACTTTATACCATCTTAATTATTTTTCTGCTATATAAAGGCCTGAACTAAGCTTTAACTTTCAAGGCACAGTCTTTCAGTGAGATCCATATTTTAGAGATTCACTTAGCAGTGTATGTAAATATTTCTAGACATTTGCAGATGCCTTTCCTTCTCTAATGTAAAATAAATGCTCCTGATTCAAACACATAAATAGGGTGAACATCTTAATTAATGTTAATGGTTTAATAATCAGGTATCTATTTTGATTGTAACATTTTTAGTTTTGAATTTTTTTAAAAAAATTTATATGCCGCCCTTCTCCAGAGACTCAGGGCGGTTTACAATGCGTTAAGCAATAGCCTTCATACTTTTGTATATTTTTATACAAAGTCAGCTTATTGCCCCCATAATCTGGGTCCTCATTTTACCTACCTTAGAAAGGATGGAAGGCTGAGTCAACCTTGAGCCTGGTGAGATTTGAATTTGCAGTAATTGCAGGCAGCTGATGTTAATAACTGTTAATAACGGTGCTTTAGTCTGCCGCACCACCAGGCTCTTGCATATTCTTGCTTATTGTATGCCATTAATTTTTAGAGGAAGCAGCTTGTGTTTTGCAGAAAACCTGTAAAAATGGCTTCATATTTAACATATAATAGCAAAATGTTTTAGAACTTTGCTGCTAAATTGTCACTGTATCTGAAGGTATGTTTTCTAAAACATTAAACAACAAAGATGAAAACTTTTCATTCATGTTATATCCAGTTATGCCACTGCAGTTAAAAATTTACCATTCAACATATCCTGTTGTTTCCTTTTCTTGCCTTTACTAGATCCCTGCATCTTTCCGCCCGCTTTTTCTGGTTAGCCAACTTGGTGCATCCCGTGAAATCAGTACTTCTACCTTGGTCTTAACTAGAGATCCTCTGTGGAAATGCAGGACAAAGTATACCATTAAGCCCATTCCCAAACCAAAGTCAGGAGGTCGAGATCACACAGGTACATTCTGAACTGCAATTCTGTCCCTGTAGGGGTTTTTTTTCCACTTCATCAGATACAAAGGAGTGACTAGATTGTAGGATTTAAACTGGGAGAAGGGAAAGGAGAAGAGGGCAGAAGGAAGGATGGTTATGCTGATGCCAGTTACATTGGAAAAAGTATTGTATCAATTAATTATGTGTTTAAAAATTGATTGTTTGTTGAAACATTTTAAGATGTCCTGAAACCTTCTGTTGTATGCGAACGCAACAATCTTTTGCTTGATTGTACTGGTGAAATTTCTTGTATCCAAAATGAGTATTTTGATATCTGGAATGGAATTTCTAGAAGTTTGAAATGCCCAAATATTACTTTGTTCCTATTTTGTGCAAAGCATTGGATTGTTTGGTTCTATATTGAATCCAGAAAGGCATTGCAAATAATGGTATATATTACACTAGAAGACAAGCATGTGAAGGGGTCTCATATGTATGTAAAGTTGATGGGATTTGTGATAATGCTGGGGGCAAAATAGACATCTTGATTTGTTGCAGGGTCTTGTTCCTTGTTAGTATCATTGTTATGCTATTTCTTGTTCTGTTGAGAATCTGCTGCAGGTTGGGTGGTCATCTGTATGAACTCTAGATAACACACAATGGAATTTCTGGGGAGATTTGTAAATCCTCCATGAGAATTGATCCGATTCTATTGATTTGACTATCGATCTCAATAAGTGGATAGTTCAGCCTAATTTAATTTTATCAGTTGAGCATTTCTGGCATTCTATGGAGTCATGCTTGTATGGGTGTACCACTGATTTGCAGTTTTTGTTATGAGTGAGTTACAAAAACACATGGCAAGGTGTGCTGTGTGAACATGAGTGATAATGTTCTATATGGCTTAAAATCCATATTTGCAAGGGATGTTGTGTGTAGTGCCACGACATTCACAAAATGGTATATTTAGAAGGCTAAATTCTTGTAAAATTGCCAAATTTTGTGAAATTAAGATATTCTTGCTTGAAGAACAATTCCGTAGACATGTTGCGAGAGACACCCTGCTCAAAACCTGGAATGAAATTAGAAAGAACCACTATGATAAGATCCCACGGTGGATCTCTACAATGGAAACACAAATCTATCCAAATACAATGGACACAAATAAAATGAAAACATACCAGGATCTCCTAAATGAAGAAGGAAAATTAAAAACAATAGAAGAATTAAGAACTCAAGGTCTTGAAATGGACTGGTGGCCATACTTACAATTAAAATCCAGATACAAAACAGATATGGAGAAATTCGGAATCCAAAAAGAACTAAATCAGTTAGACAAAATTTTACTGGGCCCAAATGAGAAATCAATAACAAAAATTTACAACTTCCTATTGGCATATAAATTAGAGGAGGAGATAGTTAAAGAAAATATGATCACGTGGGCGATGAACTTCAGATACCCCATAGAATTAAATAAATGGGAAAAATTATGGAAAACCAACAACAAACTAACACTATCAGTACCGTACAAAGAAAATACCTATAAGATGTTTTATAGATGGCACCTCCCACCGGCACGGATCTCCAAAATGTTTCCCAATACATCTTCACTCTGCTGGAAATGCAAAGCACAAAAAGGGGCATACTACCATATGTGGTGGTCGTGTCCCAAAGCCAAACAATTCTGGAACAATATTAAAACCCAATTGGAAGAAATAACAGCTCAAAAAGTACCATTAAAACCGGAAACATATCTACTAGGCATATTTACATGTAATTATGAAAAAGAAATAATATATTTGATCACACACATTCTGACTGCCTCAAGGATCACTTATGCACAAAATTGGAAACGAAGAAGTCCCAACACAAGACAGAATAATATCCAAAGTCATGGAATGTGCCGAGATGGACAGACTCACCAAGGAAATCCAAGGAAAGGAAGAATCTAACTACTATCTGGTTTGGCAAAGGTGGTATCAATGGTTGGAGAATAAAAAAAAAACCCAAAAGAGGATTCTAAAAGAGTAAAACAAAATTCTGTACCAAATAAGATTTAACAACGAATAACTAAATATCAATAAAATAATATTGTTATTTAAGACGAGAGGAAGGAATATATATTGAGGAATATAGGTTATTGATGTCATAAGAAATTTGACATTACGTTTAGATGTCATTAATGTCATTAATGTTGTGTATTGTTCTATTTGTACTTGTATGTGTATGTGTATTTTGTGTGTTTTTATATTTAATAAAAAATTTTTAAAAAGATATTCTTGCTTGAATATCTTATGAGAGCTCAGTGATAACAATGAATTCCCATTTCATGTCCTTTTGAGATTTGTAACATTTTAAAAAAATCTTGCAGCTGAATATAGTGTTTCAGTGCAATACATGATGGTTTAAAAGTACTGTTTCCACTATAAGGTCGTATCCGTGTGGATGGAATTGGAGGAGGAAATAAACAATGCTACCGTATGATTGATTTCCAAAGACTGCGTTATCCAGATGCAGCAGATCCTAGTCCGTTTGAGGAAAAAGTGCTTTTGGTCCGATATGATCCATGTAGGTAAGTAATAGGCAATTGAGTTGACAAGCAGATTGAAGGTTTGTTGAGTTTCAATTTCATCTTAGTTTTGTAAATACTATTGCTTGACAGCAATAGCCCAACATAAGAGAAGTATCTGTAGATTCGGAGCGACTTGATAGTCTTAAAACCACCGTATACAGAACTCTTACAGTAGTATGAAAAAGCTCTGGAAAAAAGATAATTCCCCGAAAAGAACGCTATCAAGATTGAGTTCCAAGATTGAGTTTGTTAAGTAATGTTGGAAAAGTAACTGATCACTGTAAGGAAAACAAACTACTATAGAAAAACTAATGAAATGGAGCATTAGGAAAAGACAGCTGGTGGAAGACGTGTAATTTTAAAAACTCTTTTGCCTAAATAGATCTCTCTTTTGTCTAAGTAGATCATTCTCTGGTTCACATCAAGAAGCCATTTTTCACTTTGCATCTATTGTCTAAATAGGTCATTCCATGGTTCATATCAAGAAGTTATTTTTCATTGTCTTCAGCAATGGAAGTCAGAGTAGCCTATGTAAATCAAGGTCTTGATGTAACTGGGATTGGGTAGTAGCTGTCTCTCCAAAATCCCACTGAGAAGCAAGTAATCTGCTTGATTACCTCAGAATGCTGATAGATTTCTATCTCAGAACAGTTGTACAAAAATGTTTTGACATTATCTTTCTTGCCCAGCTGGTTTACTTTTTATTCCGAGTAAAGCTAATACTTTGAACTGTTCATCTTTTATTGATTGATTGATTTTGTTCCCTTTGAAGATCAGGTCATATAGCTCTAGTGGGTGGAGGGAAGCGGAAACGCTGGATCATTGCAACTGAAAACATGGTAGCTGGTGACATCATCAAAACTTCAGGAAAGATAGAAAGGATGGCAGGTAAATATTTGAAATGCTACATACGTAAATATTACTTAATGCTACTACTGAAGATGGGAATGGCTAGGTTTCAAGATATATTACTTCCTCTAAATCTAAAGCTAAGCAAAGAAGAATTTTGAGGCAGACTTTTCATCACATTGCAAGCTGATTATTAGTATTAATATTGAAGGATTGGCTATAGTCTACTTTTCTAAGGAATGATGTAGGCCAATAGAAAAAAATTATGTAACTTAAGGTTGTGTGTGCTACAGTGATGCCATGTAGTCATAACAGTCTTTTTGTGGTTTCTGACATGTTTATAAAGTGTTATCCTTTTCATAGTTTGTGTTGGTTGTGCTATATTGAGTTGAGTGTTCAGGCACTTTTTGATAAACTTTCATGGGTTTGCATTTTTTTTTGAAGAGGTTGTATAGTCATTTGTATAGGTGGTCTAATTCCAATTTCTGGTGTTCTGAATTGTTGGTATTGTGTTTGTCCTTGTCTGAATAAAGTTCTTACACAGCAGCTATTGTGAGACGATGGGTTGTTACATTGGTAATGGAACATTAATGTGGATTGTGTTTGATAGATTTGAATTTCTAATTTGCTATCATTTCCTCTGCTGATGAGGATATCTAGGAAAGATTGTGTGGTTGATGAGATCCATGAGTCTGGATATTTCAATCATAGTGTATTTGTCTAGGCCAGGGTGTGGTGTAGCACTGCTGTAATGGATTCTTTGGCTAGTTCTAGATCTATGAATGAAGTGATATGTTGGGCTTGTATAAATTTATTTATTAAATTTATATACATCCATAAGGTGGCCCTTGATAGCTTACAAATCAGAAAAAGATAAATAAAAAAGCAATTTAAAATTATGCACATTAAAAATGTAAAACTATGCAAAAAAGCAGAACCAAGACGACGAATGGCAATGAGATGAGGTCTTCTTATCCCATCAACTACCTCCAATGGGGAGCAGCCCCTAAGGGCCCCAAGCAAATCCAAGTTTTAATACCCTTCCAAAATATCCTGCCACTGTTCTTTTCTGATTTGACATTTCTTGGTTAGGTTATCCAGTTTCTGGATTGAGTTGGTGTTTATGGGATGTAGGTTTATTTGTCCTCCAGTAGTTCTTTGGCTTTCTATTAGTATTGTGTTCTGTTCATGATAACCTTGGTATGGCCTTTGTCTGATGAGAGGATAATGATAGTTTTGGTCATTCTATATGTTTTTGAGTACTGCTCTGTTCTGCCTCAAAATGCTGCTTTGGGTTAGTTCTGATTCTGTTTTCTTCTGGTCTGTAGTATGATGTTTGCCATATGTTTTCTTACTGAGAATATTTGTAGCTCAGCGTTGAACTGTGGAGTTCTTGGTGCTTTCTGAACTTGGTTATATTCTTGCAGATGTTTCATTATCAAACTAGGTAGCATCATCAGAGCTAGATGTTTTCTTGAACCACTATGGCAAGTCCTGTGGTTTTAAATGCTGCTTCCCAGGCTGCAAAAAATTGTAACTGATTGACAAGCTCTATGTTATAGTTGAGATATTTCTGGAGGATATTGTGTTCTGTAGTGGATATTGGTGGCTGGACGTGTTAATTAGCAATCTCTTTGCTTCTGGAATTTAGTTTCACCAATTTGGTTTGAAGTTTTGTTTTCCTTTTGTCAACTTGTCTTAGAGGTGTAGTCTTGATAGAGGTGTTGTCATCTGTGTTCTAGGAGAAAACCACTCTCTCATCAAAACTGCATATAAACAGGGAGCAAACCTACACTCACTTGCACTGATGATATCTAGTTAGATAATGAAATGTCTGCACATAAAAAACAAATTCAGAAAGCATGAAGGACTTCATTGTAGACCCAAAATATTTATTTGAGAAGTATTAATTGTGACTTTTTAAAAAATTAAGTGATCCTATCTTATTCTTGAGGGACGCGGTGGCTCAATGGCTAAGATGCTGAGCTTGTTGATAGAAAGGTTGGCAGTTCAGTGGTTCGAATCCCTAGCGCCGCATAACAGGGTGAGCTCCTGTTACTTGTCCCAGCTTCTGCCAACCTAGCAGTTCGAAAGCACATAAAATATGCAAGTAGAAAAATAGGGACCACCTTTGGTGGGAAGATAACAGTGTTCCGTGCGCCTTTGACGTTTAGTCATGCTGGCCACATGACCACACACATCTTCGGACAGTGCTGGTTCTTTGGCTTTGAAATGGAGATGAGCACTGCCCCCTAGAATCGGGAACGACTAGCACATATGTGTGAGGGGAACCTTTACCTTTACCTATTTTATTCTTAGGGTTCTCTATTTGAGCCTAAACTATGCATCTTTCCTTAAAAATGTGCATGAATGGATACACATTTAGATGCAGCTCCCTGCTCCCCCTTCTGCCCTTTTGCTAGTACTTAGCTTCTGAGAGCTAAGTTCATTTCTTCCTCTCAATATTTTACGAAGATTTTATTTATTTTTCGCTGGTATATTTCTTTTTTCTAACCATGTTTATTTGTTGAGTTTATATTCAATGTCCTTATTTTTTTGTCTTTCAGTCTCTGCTAATGATGGGGATGCATATCCAGTTGGAGCTCTACCACTTGGAACCCTTATAAATAACTTGGAGAGTCATCCTGGGAAAGGAGCACAGTATATCCGAGCAGCAGGTCAGGATCCAGTAGAAGCCAGAAACAGTTTGGAAGGATGAAACAAATCTGGACAGTCAGAACCAAAGCAGTTTTGGAGTCCTTGGCTTCTTTCCAGTCCAATTTACCAAAACCATTGATGCTTTTGTGTTTGGAGTCCATTTCCCAAAGTTGCATACGTCTCCTTCCCTGTTTTGACTTCTTTTTAGAAGGTGTTCTGAAGGTTATTCAATAGAATTGTACTTTTGTACATTAGTTTTGAAACCTGCAACAGAATACTAACAGTTTCTTGAGTGTTATATTATTCTCCCTACTTAGCAACTGATGTTTAAATAAGATTTACTCATACTGTGTGGCTGTTGAGCAATCATGTTTGACGAAAGCAAACAAAACTGCATCTGGTAAGTGTTAGATGGCAAAATGAAACCTAGGGTAGTCAAAGATCCATTCAACCACACTTCCTTTGCTTAATTCATGGCTTAGATGCCAAAATAAAAAATTGATTAAAAAAAACAACCCCTGCATATTCCAGAATGGGATAGGAGAAACTCTTGTCAGTAGATCAGCATGAATCCTTCCTAAATCATTTTGTTCAATTAATGGGGAATGTTCACAGTCAGCAAATAAGTTACAATCAGGACTCATGCTAGTCATTCTAATTATGTTAATTAAAAAGGGTGAACTATCTTTAGCATTAGGTATTGTAGAACATGATCTTCAGAATGTGTTTTAGATTGTAAATCTATGCTGATGATAATGCTGGAAACCAAGAGATGATGTTTAATAGAGGTCCAATGCATGCAGTTAGAGTATTAATTTGATGCTGTATTCAGTCTAGTTTCAGATTATCATCCAAATGTATTCATATTTAACACAATGGATTCAAGAGATTAAGTAATGACTCCAACCTCAAATGCTAAGAGGTTGATGCCAGATGCAAACTTTGTATGATGGCTGCCAATGCAGCTTTAGGATATCTTATTAGGCAAAACTGGCCTATAGCAGATCCTGGATTTATGTTTCTATTGGGATAGGTTGAAAAAAGTTTGTGGTTGGATGATTTCTGTTGGCCTAATTCAGTGTTTGGTCAAAACATTGCAGTCTTGCTGACACTTTCTTTTTTAGGCACCTGTGGGGTATTACTGAGGAAAATTAGTGGAACAGCCATTATACAATTGCCCTCCAAGAGGCAAATACAGGTAAGCCCTTTAGAGTTCAGGGGTGTTAGTGAAGATAAAAGGCAAGGCTCCTTTAACACCTAGAATTGTCTTGATGGGAAAGAGTATCATCTATTTTGCTTTTTTCATCAATGCTTCCCTACAAGCAATGCCTCTTTTGGGATGTGCCAAGACATGTAGAAAAGGGATAGGGGGCTTGTGCGGTGATCCTGCAGTGTTGCTTGTATCACTCTGCCTCCCTTGCTCCATTGCAGATGCCGCTAAGTGAGGAAATTTATGCGGGGTCATCATTTGAACATTTCTGTGTTGAATCAAATTGTTCAGAACTTGCCTTCAAAACTCAAGAGGATGATGCTGATTATATAAAACTTGTTACTCGGTTTCTTCTCACAGGGAGGATGGTAATAAATGGCTCTGGGTTAGAAGTTCAGTTAGAGTGGGCCTCAAGGCAGTCATCTTCTCTCTCTCATATGATTTTGAACATTTAAAAGCTATTGAAAGCACAAAGAATAGAATAATTGTGTCTGGTGCCTGCAAACATCTGGAATATTCTGCTTCTTCTTTTACTCTTACAGGTGCTGGAAACATGCATGGCTACAGTGGGACGAGTTTCCAATGTTGAGCACAACCAACGAAATCTTGGGAAAGCTGGTCGGAACCGGTGGCTGGGAAAGCGACCAGATAGTGGTTTATGGCAGCGGAAAGGGGGATGGGCTGGACGCAAGATCAGGCCCCTCCCAGCGATAAAAAGTTATGTGAACCTGCCAATGCCAGCCTCACAAGGCTGACATTAGTAGCTCTTTAGAATTCTGTTAAATAAAGTTTTCACCTGCAACCTGCAAAGCTACTGTGTTTTTTTCCTTTTTTTTTTTTTTGTATTAATGAATTCTCTTGAGAAAACAGCTTACTTGGTATGAAGCTGGTACAGTTACAGTCCATCTCTACATAGAGTAAGTGACCTTAAGGCTTTTAAACTGTTTTTAGACTTCTTAAAAGTTCTCTAGGAACATGTCCCTTAGTCTGGTGTCTAACATAGTTTCAGAGAAATTCAAATTCTTTCAATTTGCTTATGGAACCACTGTCCTAATATGATCCTAAAGAGTTAATCCTTTCCAGTTATTGAGAAACAATTTAACTCTTACTACACAAAAAAGGAGTTTCTGAGTGTCCTAAAACTGATTTCTCCTGTTTTGTAGTCCATTTTAGAAAAATAGTTCTGTTTTATGGCTTTTTGTATTTTCTCATTAAACTGGCTATACGTTGTCAAATTCACAAAGAAAATAACTGTCAATAATTTGAATACAGATATAACAGTGAATATATTTTATATAGAATAACAGAAGAGAAGAATAGAGTTGGAAAGGACCTTAAAGGTCTTTTAGTCCAATCCCCTGCTCAAACAGGAAACCCTATACTGTTTCAGACAAATGGTTGTCCAATCTTTTCTTATACCTCCAGTGTAAGAGCACCCATAACTTCTGGAGGCACTGATTATTTTTTCTACCCTGTTTCCCCCAAAATAAGACATTCCCTGATAATAAGCCCAATCAGCCTTTTGAGTGCATGGCAATAAGGCCAAGCGCTTATTTCAGGGTTCAAAAAAATATAAGACAGGGTCCTATTTTCGGGGAAACATGGTAACTATCAGGAAATTTCTTCTAAGGTTGCTTCTCTCCTTGATTAGTTTCCATCCATTGCTTCTTGTTCTGTCCTCAGGTGCTTTGGAAAATAGCTTGACTCCCTCTTCTTTGTGGCAACCTCTGAGATATTAGAACAGTGCTATGTCACCTCTAGTCCTATTTATTAAACTAGACATACCCAATTCCTGCAACATATAAGCACCATCTTATAGTCCTTTCACTATTCAACCTTCCTCACAAGAGCTGCATATATAGTCCTTTCAGGATCATGCTCATGCCATGCGTCTGTTACAATGAACTAAGATCCATAAAACGTGATAAAATATAATCACATTATATGTGATTATAATATGTTTTTGATTTTGATAATTTTGATGCCACAGCTACCCCCCTGGATCCACATATTCAAGGTTATTTTCTACTTGTCGGCTTTAATGCTTTAGTTGATTTTGAAAAGCTCTTTTAAAGAATTACTAACACTTTTACTAAAATAAAATATGGTTACCTTGCCTATTGGGTTGGGTGCTGAACAGAGTCCAATTTAGAACACAGAACATAGAATAACAGCAGGGCCCTTGGAGGTCATTTAGTCCAACCTGCTGCTTAAACAGGACACCCTATACCAGGGGTCTTCAACCTTGGCAACTTTAAGACCTGTGGACTTCAACTCCCAGAATTCCTCAGCCAGCTTTGAAGTCCACAAGTCTTAAAAGTTGCCAAGGTTGGAGACCCCTGCCCTATACCATTCCAGACAAGTGGGTGTCCAATCTCTTCTTAACAGCTTCCAGCGATGGGGCACCCACAGCTTCTGAAGAAAAAGCATTCCACTGGTTAACTGGACTCCAGAGGATGGTAGAGGACAGGAAGGCCTGGAGGAACCTTGTCCATAGGATCGCGATGGGTCGGACACGACTTCGCAACTAACAACAACAACAACAACTGGTTAATTGTTCTCACCGTTGAGAAATTTCTCCTTAGTTCTAGGTTGCTTCTCTCCTTGTTTCCATCCATTGTTTCATGTCTTCTAGTTCTTTGTTAAAAGTGTATTAACATCATTACAGTAGCACATCAGCGCGCAGGAGTTCCAGCTCAAACGCAAATTAGTGAACTTAAAAAAAAAAAAATCAAAGACAATGCATAACCGGGGAAAACAAACTGATTTCACACTCGCAGAAAGTATTTGATGCTCGTTCCTAAAGAGGAGTACGACAACACTTTTATCTCTTTCCAAAAACTTGGGTTTAAGAACCCCCTTTGAAAACGATTATAGCATAATTCTGTCCTGTCGGAGGACCCGTAACTATTTTAATAATAAGCAACATGCGCAGAACAAGCGGATGAGACAGCGTCTGGGCAAGGTAAATAAATGGAAGTTGCTAAGCAAGGCTTGCCGACGATTTGCTGCTTTGACTACTAAGTTTTGGAGCCGCGTTTAAGGTAGGCTGAAGCTCGAGACTTTCAGGCCCTGCTACTGCACGGGTGCCTCCCGTTGCAGGTGGAAGAGAACCCCGCGGGTTCCCTTGTCCATTCCAAGGAAGGTCGACGCGCCCCTAAGCTCCGCCCCCCGGACTTGCCTTCCTCTGTTTCCGATAGGCTCGAGCCGGTGCGCAATTCTGCGAGCACCTTGGGCGTGAGGCGGCTGGAGGTGTGGAACTGTGGCCCCTTTATGACTTGTGGACTTCAACTCCCAGAATTCCTGAACCAGCCATGCTGGCTTAGGAATTCTGGGACTTGAAGTCCACAAGTCATAAAGGGGGCAGTCAGTGGTTCCCTACCCTTGGCCTAGAACAAGGAAGAAATATATCAATTCAAGAGGAAACAGGGCGAGCAATAGCAGTCCTCTTTTCCCCTTATATTCGTATCTCATGTATTGAAAGACTGGCGCTTTGGTATTTACGTACACTTTTCATCAGGCCACCACCTCCTCCTGCAGCTGCAACATTATTTTAGCGTACCTACCATGTTGGGTGAACTCAGCCTAAGAATTTTAAAGACCCCCAAACATGTTAATGCTGCACAGATAAATATGGCCACCGATCAGGGTATCGCACATGTTCTTGCTTCTTAACTAGAAGCTGTTTTGGGACTAGACTAGACTGGTGTCCTCTGTAACAAATCTCAGTATGGACGATAAAAATAGCACAAGCCTGGACGGAATTAAACTGGGAAAGGCACTAAATAGTTTTTTGCATTGTATCAGATAATGTGAAGTGCTCATAAATATTCAGATGCTGTCCTTTCTGGTTAAAATTATTAGATACAGGGATTGTATAAATAGCATCAGATAAACGTTGCTGAATCTTAGAAAAAAAATGCCTTGTGTCTATTTTTCATCTTACTTCACTTCATCATTTTTCCAGATCTGATTTTATAAAGATAAAATAATTTATATAGTCCTTTAAACCTACCAGAGCTACAGTTACCATCATTGAACGTGCTCTTTTTTTTAGTTATGTGTATCCATTCTTTTTGTATCTAGATGCACAATTTCTTTATAAGAAATGTGGTACTATAAAAAGGAATCTGTCATGTAGAGTAAAAAAGCTGTTTTCTGCCAAAGTCCTCTCTTTAACACAGTGGTTCTCAACCTTCCTAATGCCGCGACCCTTTAATACAGTTCCTCATGTTGTGGTGACCCCCAACCATAAAATTATTCCTAAAACCATTGAAAATATGTGTTTTCTGATGGTCTTAGGTGACCCCTATGAAAGGGTTGTTCGACCCCCAAAGGGGTCGCGACCCACAAGTTGAGAACCACTGCTTTAACAGAACACCAGGCTTTTACCTTATATTTGTACACCCTTTTATGACATCTCTTTTAAACAACTTTAAAAGTGGTGCAACTGTAATATTATTTCACTCTTGCATGCTACCCATATCTGGGTCTTGATTGCCAGTAGGTTGAACAGCACCCTGCAACAATTGCAGAATGTTCTGCCATGAGTGGGGGACCCATAGAATGGAGGAAGATTGAAAAAAACGTTTTCTAAACAGGAAGTTTGAAAACTTCACTAAAAACAAAGTTCCACACCAGCTCAGCTTCAGATTGTCACATTTGTAAATAGTAAATGATATGTTTATTAGCTTGTTGATTAACTATGCCTTCTGTATATCATCAAAGTTACTAAATTTTACCGTTCACTATATTTAGTTGTTCAAATTGTATGTATATCTTGCCTGTTATTTATTACAAAGCATCTAATAAGTACAATTTATTCATTTAGTCTTTATGTTTAAAAAGAATACTGGCCCTAAGTTGCTGTGCCTGTTGACCTAATGGATAAGTCTATTCTGATTCCAACAGAAATAATTACTTGATGAACTTTCCCTTAGCTGGGCAAGTTTTCTTATAGCAATCTATAGTTATGCCAAAGCAAGTATTCCTACACTTTTCTTCTCAGGACTCCTAGACTGAAAGCCTTTTTGGTTTTTCTTCATGGCATAACCTGCCTTTTATCACACCAGAGATACATTCCCTGTCATGAGGATTAAAAGGCAAAATGGGGATGTGCTGGTGCATCTTGGACCCAAACATCAAGCCTATCCTGAGGAGTTAATTCGGCAACGTCGTGGTCACAATGGATGTAGTGAGTACTTGATCCGCTGGAACATCCTTTGCTTGGATAATGATGAAGAAAACAGTATTGAAGCCTCTTCAGTTGAAGGTAAAAAACAGACAATCTTGATGTGGATGTCGTCAGAGGATATATATGCCAACTGTCCAATATTACTAGGCAAGAGGAAGCCCAAGGAACAAGTGGTGGAACAGAATGTATCTAACTTATTCCCTCCTGAAGACACTTTAGATGAAGCCTCTCTTGCAGAGATGAAAGCTGATGTCAGGAACCTGGTGCAGCGAGCTTCCTGGCAACTAGCAAGCATCCCTGTTCCACAGTCATCCATACTGAATACCATCCATATACTCAGCGCTTATGCCAGTATTGGCTCATTGATGGCCATCTTCAAGGAGACCGGGGCCCTTACTCTTCTGATGAAGATGCTGTGTAATGAGGAAAAGCATATCCGTTGTAGTGCTGGAAAGATGCTGAGAGCTTTGGCTTGTCATGATGCAGGTATGACATCTTGGGAGATGCCCACAACTAATATAAAATTCCTGCCTGAGGTATTACAAGTATTTAGATATGTTTAGTTGAAAGTCACATTCAGTAATACAGAAAGTCGGTGCTAACCCTTTATTCTTACAGATTTTAATAGACCTTCAATCCCATCCTTAATAGAATTAGAAATCTTAACTAGTTAGATGTTGATAAATACTTCAGAGTGATGATTGAGCCATTGCAGCAAATTTTGAGTAACTGTTGCCTATTAAAAGTTAATTTATAGTTGATAAACATCAAAGGTTTCAGTTATGATATCCCCTTAGTCAATTCAGATTAAAATTCTACAAATGTTAACTTGTTTTAATTTTAAAAGAACCGTTTCTGTTTGGTTCAGAGCAAGTAAAGCATTCTTAATTGTTATAAACATATCACAAGTTAATAAATGTTATGTCATATGGGGAGGCGTTTTTAAATCATTCAGGAAATTGTACACTTCTATTTTGATGTAAAGGATTTCCCTTTTGCCATGGTTGTAGGTTATTTTTATGTTTGGGCAGGTTTCTAAATTCCAAACTGGTGTTTGTAGTGATTGGAGTCCTGAGGAATGTGTGTGTGGGAGGCTTTTTGTTTTAGCATTTCTGAATTCGCATGCCCCTGTAAATATTTTGTATACAACAAGGTGAGTTGCTGTTCTACTGGGGCATAGAAACTCTACAAGACTACTAATAGCCTTGGGCATGAGATTATTAAGTCTCTGTGCAGCCAAATTGATCAGAAGCATCTTCCCAAAAAATCAATAGCATTGACCCTGACAGCACCTTGAAGCAGCACCTGCAGAAGAGGTGGATAAAAGTGTCTCCATTGCTTGAACAGAATTACTAAAACTCTATGCTGATAGAAGACATGTCAGTGACTGAAGTGCTGATTTATAATCCAATGGTACCAGTGGGGTCTTGGAATCCTAGCAGACAATCAGTTAAATATGAGCCAGCAGTGTGCTTCAGCTGCCAAAAAGCCAACATAGTCTGAGACTGCATTAACAAAGGGATAGAATCAAGATCTCATGAAGTGTTAATAGCACTTTATAATGCCTTGGTAAGGCCACACTTGGAATATTGCATCCAGTTTTGGTTTCCACAATAAAAAAAAGATGTTGAGACTCTAGAAATAGAGTGTAGAGAAAAGTAACAAAGATAATTGGGGGACTGAAAGCTAAAACGTATGAAGAACTGTTGCAGGAATTGGGTATGTCTAAATGAATGAAAAGAAGAGCTATGAGTGGCTTGATAGCAATGTTCCAATATCTAAGGAGCTGCCACAATGATGAGGGGGTCAAGCTATTCCACAAAGCACCTGAAGGCAGAACAAGAAGCAATGGGTGGAAACTAAGAGAAAACCAAGCTACAAGTATGTCCCAAAGGTGCTTTGTAAAAAAACACGTTTGGGACAACCATGACCTGGATGACTGAGTAGAAATAAGTAGACAAGCTAGAAATAAGTAGAAATTTCCTTACAGAACAATTAATCAGTGGAATGACTTGCCTTCAGAAGTAGTGGGTGCTCCATCAATGGAAGTTTATAAGAAGAGATTAGATAACCATTTGTCTCAAATGGTATGAGCAGGGGGTTGGACTAGAAGACTTCCAAAGTCCCTTCAACTTTATTATTCTGTTATTCTGTCCTAACTTGCAGGTCATCCTGTTTAAATTTGTTTATAGTATGAGGCTTTGTTCATGGATTAATTGATATCTCTTTGTGAGTTAAAAAAGTTGCTTCTACCCTGTCATGGAGAGCAAGTAAGGAAAGAGCTATATAAGTTTTTCTGTTTTAGGAAGCAGAGCCTTTGTTCTCCTGTCCCTGAGCCAGCAAGATGGTATTGAACAACACATGGACTTTGATAGTCGCTATACCCTTCTTGAGCTGTTTGCAGAAACAACATCCTCTGAAGAGCATTGCATATCTTTTGAAGGAATTCCTCTTCCTCAGGTACTAACTGACAAAAGGTTTTGGCAAAGGAGTGCGGCTCTCTTTATTAATGAGGCATTTTCAGTTTAAAACCTGAATTATAAAGAATTCAGTTGTGAAGAGAATGTAATCTTCAGCAGCTGGTGATAAATTTAGAAGCTGTGCTTATGTTGTCTTTCAATTGGCAAGCTTAATGTGGCTAACTAAATCAATTTTAATAAAGAAATTACCTACACAATTTTATCCTGAATTTTCATTACCTATAATGACTGGTATCCATTCTCTGATTGAAAATAAATGGCTGGCACTTACTTCTGCTGCTAGCATCTTGTTAATGTCAAATAGTCGCAGTTAGAGTACTGATGATGACATTTGATTAGAAAGCTACTAGAACTCAATAATATGTCAGATACATATTAAAAGGAAAGAGTTTTTATGGAGTGAGCTGTAAGCTATGCTGCCTTGAGTCAATAACAGAATTATTGGCCATTGACAGATATGGTCTTCTTGTTTCAGATTCCAGGAAAACTGCTGTTTTCTCTAGTAAAGCGTTATCTATGTGCTACCTCTTTCATGGACAAACTCAACAACATCACGGAGTGGGGAGATGAACAGGAACATTGCATGCCCTCCAGTGCGGATTCAAAGAGAAAGAAGAGAATACAATGTGAATTTGACTTCAGCATGGCTATGGCCCACTTCATTTCAGAGTTAATCCAGGTTATGGGATGGAATCAGAATCAAGAGCTTCACTCACTCAGACAAAAGAAACGATATCAGTCAATCTTCCAGCCCCAAATTCCAGCCATCCCATCAGCTGCAGAAATGCTCCAGAAAGAAAACTCTGCTTTCAAGTTGTGCTCAGCCTTTCCTAGTCGTAAGAGCTACGTGGAATATGTGCGAGAGACATTGGTGCGTGGCATGCATGTGCGTATGCTGGAAAATTATGAGAAAGTCTGTGCAGGAGATGAAGGCGAGTTTCTTCAGAGCAATAATGGCACACCACCTGTCAAGGTACTACAGTGTGGAGGAGGGGAGAGACATCCTGGTGATGATATGATGGTGAAGGAGTGATATAAACATTTGATTTTTAGGAATCCTGTTGAGTTTCTCAAACTATTGTGCTTCCTAGATTGGCACGAGAAGTGCATCTATATTCAAAGAAAGCTTGTGGCTTGGTTGATAATTGTTGTATAAGGCACTTGGTATATTAGCCCTTATTTATAGGAGAAGAATTTTTGTGTGTTGTGTTGTGAAGTTTATGATTCTAGACTGGATCATAAAGGAAGTGATCTGTAAGCACACTGAAAATAATGAAGTAATTTCCAGATTCATGGCATTTTATAACACTATAATTTTCCAGGTTTATTGGGAATCTCTGGGCCGTACATACTGGGTTCATTGGCACATGATTGAGATTGTTGGTTCATCAAGAAATGCAGAGCAGAAAGCCCAGGAAAAGGTATCAACTCTTAGAGAGCTTCTGAGAGAAAACACAGGTAAGATTCTGCTGGGCTTTTAGACACCCTTGCACTCCGTTGCTAAGTTACTTTAAGGGTGTTCTCTGCTTCTGAGCTTCAGTTTTGTTATTTATGCCAAGCTTGTAGACTGGTTTCAGTTTTCTCAGCGCTTACTTTCCTGTTTAAGCAGATGAAATGCTGAAATAATGTTTCTTGTCAGTCTCTCCTTATTGGGAGGAATCATGGGTTAGTGATAGAACATGTGTTTTGCATGTAACAAGTGCAGTATATATGTGCAAATTAAAAAGAGAGTAGGTTACAGATGATAGGGACAGAGTTTTCCCATCACAGCTATCTAGGTTTCTTACTTGGAGATTTATGATAAGGTTTCAGCCTTTCCTTGGGAAACAGACCAAATTTAAAATAAATGAATAACAGCAAAACCGAATCTTTTAAACAGAATTTTCAATGTTATAAAGATAAAAACAATGTGTCTTACACAGCACCAATAAACTACATCATAAATTAAAATTCTACTGCTAGACATTTAGGCTAGAGTATTTATCTGCTTCTTCCCAAAATAGCAGGCTGTCTGAAGCAAAAAAAAAAAAAAAAAAAAAAAAATTGCCTTTCTTTCTGGTTTTTCCTGGGAATGCCATACTTTTACCTGAAGCTGTGAGGAAATCCATGATCTTCCCAACTTCCATTCCCTGCTGCGATGAGAAAATGTATTTTCTTTGTTTGAGCTGACACAGTAAAGTTAATTTAACACTGACCAGAAAGTTAACGGCACTATATTAATAACTTAGGGGAGTAGTTTAGACTTAGTTATTAAGTTCAATGAACTTACCTAAAATAGACAAAGTTTTGTATCTTCTTATTAACAATGTAGTATATGTTTTTATATATTTACTTTTTAATCTGTTTAGGATATATACCTTTGATATATTTACTATTTGAATGTTTTTGTAACTAAGATATGGATGAGATATGCCCAGTTGAATTCATTTATGTAATTGATCATTAAAATATGAATATATTTACTAATATGAATATATTTACTAATTATAAGTAAATGATTAGGTATAGGATTACCCTGTTAATATACAATTAGAGTAGCAGCTAAGAAAACAATTTTTCATTGCCTTTCATTGTTCAATATTTCATTGTTTTCTTAGCTGATTCTCTAATTGTATATTAATAGGGTAATCCTATATGTAGGAATAAATCAAATTGAATATAATGGGGCTTACTTTTGGGTAGACATGTATGAGTTTAAGTTGCAATATCTATAGAATTAAGTTGCCTATTAGCATGTAGCAGAAAGTCCTATTATGAAATTTCTGTTTTGATGGCACCATTTAACTTGAGTGCCTCAAGAAACCATATATAGCATCTCTTAGTCATTTTGTGTTTATTTCCAGTTAACCAGCCAAGATATTGCCAACCGCTCAAAGAATTATATGCTTTACCATGCCTTACGGATCATTTGAATGAGGACTGTGGGACTCTAAGTCAAGCTGAATGGTGGGAGCTACTTTTCTTCATTAACAAGCTAGAAGTCCATAAACATCAAGAAGTTGTTCATTTCATCCAGCAGAATCAGAAGGTAAAGCACCAAGAAGAATCAGTCCAACCAGAAAGGGATTTCAAGCTAATTCCCAGTTGCTTAATTTGATGTGAGAACTCATACACTGTCTAGGCGTAAAAAAGTAATTGTATTACAAGATCAGATGCATCATATCTGAAAAATATTTCTGTGTGCCTGGGATTACATTCTGTAATCAGAAAGATAGTTATGGGGCCCTAAATCTTTAATATTCAAGATAAATCCCAAAATAAACTTGATCTATGTGGATAGATCCAGAGTCAGTGAAGCTAATTTAAGAAACCAGCTCCAAATTAATTGTATACAGTGTTGAATTTTGTAAAGATCCAGTTTTCAGACAATTTGCTTGAGGATGATAGGAATTGAAGTTCAAAATAACTGCTGATATTAGGTTGCCTACCTAAAAATGTCATCCAAATATTGGAAAATCATAGATAACTTTGGTGCTCTAGATTCAAGGGCCAAATTTCCAAGATGGATTAATGAACTCTCCCAATCTGATTTTGTGGGCTTTTTGTGTGGTTCTAGATAACTCTGGTAATAAACTTCAATAGGAACACTGTGCTTTTATTCTCTCTGCATTTCAAGCTATCAAGACTAAATGAAGAGGATCTGATCCAGATGTGTGTTTCAGTAGAGTTGGCTCAGAAAATACTGCAGCTCCTGAACAAGCATTGTCAGGGCACCACTCAAATTGATCTGCAGAACTCCCATGTCTATTTCAAATATTTCTTTAGCAAGGGAGGTACAGAGCAGAACTGCCCAAACGCAGAAATGCTCTCTGCAAATTATGGTGACCTTTCTGAAGCCCTGAAGTCCCAAAAAACAAAAGAAGATACACTGCCTGATAGAGTGTCTTCTCCAACTCCATTTGCAGCAAAGGAAAGTGACAGACGGCTGATTAACACATTTCCCAAAATAGAAGGGGTCTTCTTTCCAGACACATTGGATGAGAAAGTCAAAGGTAAGTGCCAGGCAGTATCAGACATATTAATTGATTAGAGGAACATCAGAACATAGCTGCATTGAGAATTCCTAAGTGTCCCTCTCTAATATACTGTATCTATGCTTTGAACTTGAAAATGAAATGATTCAGCATATAGGTTTCCATTTTATAGCCAAGTTTGCTGTTAGAACTTGATTTGATATATCAGGACTCATGACTATTAGCAGCCAATGAAACATGTTGTTTTGGGTTTTTTTTTAAATAAATAAATCGCTTTATTATTAGAAAAATGCCATTACTATTCCTCTCTCAAAGGAAAAATTACTACATTGTGAATGCTACAGAGGATTAGTATATTAAAGTTCCCTAGAAAGGTATTTGGCAATATTTTGACTGAATGAAACAGTAGAAGAGATAAACAAATTTTGCTCGTTGCAATTTTATGCCAGGCAGGAGTGTGCGAGACCAGGTTTTTCTCTTCAGCAAGATTGTTGAAAAATGTATGAATGTGTTTTTTATTATTATTATTATTATTATTATAACATATAGTGATATATTCAGTACATTTTCGGTTCATTGGTGCAATTATATACATATATATATCTACATGCATTATTACTTGTCTTTTATTTGATATTGTTTCTTAAAGCTAGATTTAATTTCAAAACACTTAAAGATAATAGTGCTCAAATCTCTAAGACTAAATGTAATACTATTCATATGGATTTTGTTAATTAATTAATATTTAATCTCTATTTCCTTCTTTATTTCTTTTCCCCATCCATTCGTACCACATGTCCCACACGCTATAAAATTCCGAATCTTCTCTGTCATTAATTTCTGAAGTCAATTTGTTCATTTCGGCGCACTCCAATATTTTTCCAATAATACGTTCTTGAGGTGGTATTTGTTTTTCTTTCCAATACTGGGCAAAGGAAATTCTAGCGGCTGTCAGAATATGTATAATTAAATACTTTTTCTTTTTTGCATATTCAGTTTTCAAAATTCCCAGGAGAAAGGCTTTTGGTTCGAAATCAAAATTTTCTTTTATTATTTCTCTAATCCACATCCATATCATCCTCCAGAATTTTTGTGCCTGATTACATGTCCACCAGCAGTGATAGAAAGTACCCTGCTGATGGTCACATTTCCAACATTTAGGGCTCGAATTGGGGTAGATCTTCGCTATCCTAGCTGGGGCCATATGCCATCTATAAAACCTCTCTCCATCCCATGGCCATTAGAGAGTCATGTGGGTCCTGGAATATAGTAGAAGTAAAGGTGGCCTTAGGCATACTGGCATTCCCCCAGTGCTGTTTCAGATTGCAATTTTAGAGACTCCATTAATAACAACAACAATAACATATTAAATGAATAGCCACCCAAGTCCTAGCAATTCTGGATGGTTTACAAATTATTAAAAACATTTAGAAACAAGGAATAATATAAACAAACTCAAGATGGCAGAGAAAACAAACATTGTAGGAAAAGCAATAGGTTGGTGAAGTAAATGAAGTATTATTTAATTATGCAGTAAGAAATGCTATGACTACAAAATACAAACTGTCCTGCTGTAAATAATGTTTGAGTATTCCAAGAAGGTAACATAGTATCTATATCTGTTTGAAGTTCAGTAATGATATTGTCCTAAATAATAGAGAGCCCAATGCATACTGTGGGTTGCATGTTAAATCTAGTTTTTGTCTCAGGACAATTGCAGTGTGCTGTGATGTTGAAAGACATTGCCATCAGTTCATTGCCATGGGCAGATCATTCTGATTGCTCTTTGGCTTACTGTGACCAACCAACCACTATGAGGGAAGATAGTTTTTGTTAGTTTGGCCCACCTCAGATGTCTGATGGGCTTATTTAAGTTCCAGAGAAAGCTTTTGGTTTTCCCTGAAGGTCTGTCAGGTAGTTCAGTTGAAGTTTTAATTGCAGCCTGGAATAGGCAGGGGACAGGATCTGGACTGAATTGCTTCTATGCAGCTTCTCTCTGTGCTCCAATTCCATGGTTCTTCAAGGAACTCCAGAAGATGAAGTGCAAGAAGTGATGTCTAGAATGTCTTTGAAGAAAGACAAAGAGTGAATCCAACCAACCATGAGGGAAAGCCCATTCGTGGGCCTATATCATGGCAAGAAAGAGGGTAAAATGTGATTATTCCACTGCTATTATTGAATTATACCAGTAGCTGCTCAGTGGTCCTGTTCAGAGTAACACACTCCCTGTTTGGTGAAGGGGAAAGCCGCAGGATCATCTGCAGAACCATAGTGATGAATATTCATACCAAGGGTGAAATGCTCCCGGTTCAGTCCGGTTCGGCCGAACTGGTAGTAAAAAATGTAAAACAAAAAGTTCCGACAATCAGCTGAGCGATGCGCGATTGTTGGAACTTTTTTAAAAAAAACTTTTTAGGCATTTTTTTACTACCAGATCTCCGGAACCGATAATAAAAATGCTTTTAAAAAGTAAAACAAAAAGGCTCCGACAATCACAGCTGTGCCATACGATCGTCAGAGCCCTTTTTTTACTTTTAAAAGCATTTTTTTACAACCTATTCGGGCAAATAGGTTGTAAAAAAATGCATTTAAAAGTAAAAAAAAAAGGCTCTGAAGATTGCAAGCCACAGCAGATCACCCCCCTCCACGTGCTGTTCTACTTACCCCATGCCTCCTTTAGGTGAGCACTGCGCACGTGCGCGCACCTTGCATTTGGTGCGTGGTGGGCACTACATGCGTGCACGCAGCACGCGTTTGGTGCGCATGCGCAGCCAGCAAACCAGTAGTAAACCAGTTCAGATTTCACAACTGATTCATGCTATCCGGTGGATAAAATCACTCAGATTTGCTTGGATTTGAACTCTATCTGGACAAGTCCATCTGAGTTGCGCACGGCACAGTCTTGTGAGGTTATCCAGACTGAGTCTGATTCTGTGTCGCACAAGGAAATTGACAAAATCCTCCAGTCTGTTAGTGCAGCCACTTGTCTGTTAAATCCTGCCCCTCTTGAGTTGTTAAGGTGACTCAGGAGGTGACCAAGGGATGGATCCATCCGGTGGTATCTGCCTCTTTGAGAGAAGAGATGATCCTACCAACTTTGAAAGGAGTGGTAATACATCACTCCTCAAGAGGTCATCACCTAATTTTTAAATTAACTTTTGAAATTGGAAATATTTGTTTGGCATTCAGGCCTATTGTCTTATAGTATTCCTCATTACTTGTTGGTGTAGATTGTTATATCCAATCTTCTTCTTTATTTCCTCTTTTACCATTTTGAATGTTGAGAGATACAAAGTTTTGGTTCTTGCACTTGTTGTTGCTTCAACCATTTTGTTATTTGATGCTTCTGTAGCGCGTCTTTGATGTTGTCTTTCCATCATCTTCTGGATCTGCCTCGTGCTCTTTGACCTCCTCCTTTTACAGTATGTATGCCTTATATGGTATGAAATCCACAAAGATTCTCTCCAGATATCCAATATAGACAGAAAAGTTTGCTAAGAAAAGGCTAACATACCTGTAGGGGGATTTGTATTATAGTTGACTAGGTGAATAGTAAGTAGATATGAAGAGGCTACTTTGGGAAACTGATTGCAAAATTGTGCTGATATATCTGTTGCTCAGCTTTCTGCAGTGTGAAGGCCAAAAAGGAAAGCACCCTGGAGCAGCTGCAGGATGCCATGGAGATGATCCAGAAGTCCAGCTGTGACATTGAGCTGAAGCTGGCGGGTCTTAAATTTATCATCACGATTTTGGAGGAGGAAGAGGAATCTGGGCAAGGGAGACAGATTGCCACAGCAGAGAGTGAATTTGCCATTAGGTTAGCTTTTTTTCATTAGGTCCTGTTATCATTATGGCATGTTATGAACAACAGAAGGAATATTGAAGAATGGTTTTAAGTAGCCTTTAAGTAAATTCTTATTTACAATAGCATACCAAAACCAAAGCCGAAATACATATGTGGGGTTGGACTAGAACACCTCCAAAGTCCCTTCCAACTCTGTTATTCTGTTATATGTCAAAAAGTAGATACACACCCATTTGTCTTCTTGAAAGATCAGAATGAATTTAATTCTAAATAAATAAAATGTCAGACCTGTGGTGCTGATGCTGTATGCAAATACAGATATCAGCATGTTTTCATTCAGAGTGTTTGCTTCCACTGGTCCTTAGATATAACTTGGCACATTTTTGTCCAAGCTTACAATATTCTATAGACAGAGATTACAATTGTAGAACTTTTGAAACTTTTTTTCTTTTTAAATAACACCAGAATTTTTGGAAAAGTTGAAATAATTTTTGGAACACCTTTTACAAATTTTTGAAACATCTTTTAAAAAACCTTTTACATCTTTTGTATTATGTATAATTTGGTTTGTTCATAGTTGAAATATTTTATAGTTGATAGGTGATCATAGTTGAAATATTACCTTTAAAATACGATTGAATCCTAAATTTCCAAATTTAGCTAGGTGGATGGTTTTGCACCAAAAATTCAATGAGCAAGAATGAAATCATAATTCATATTTTAATGAAAATAAGCTAATTGGTTTATATAGATTAAACATTGTAATTCAGAACTTTCTATCCAATATATATATTTCCCCCCCAAAAAAACCTATATACAATTTTTTATTTTGTAAAATCTCTGCACTTACAACACATATAATTTAATAAATAACATTTCTAAAAATTCAAAATAGTTTTTTAAATTTTGATAAGGTAGTTGGTGTTTAAGTCTTTCACTGCTGGTGAAAACTTTCTAAACCATGGATGATTGTTTTGTATTCTGATCATCGTAGCACCATTGTCCTGCACCACTATGAACTGAACATCAGCAATCCCTAGATCATTCTTTTAAAATGATCTTTCAAAAATAAAATGTTTTACAATCCAGTAGTTTAATATTTTTCTCTGATAGAACTTGGAAAAGTGTTAATGTGTGATGGATAAATATGTTTCCCCCCCCTAAATATTTCCAGTTTATTTCCTGGGCCTTCTCATCTCTAGTCTTATGTGATTTGTCAGCTAATTATCTTCAGAGGCCCTCAGGGTATGATCTTGCCTCTTTTCTACCTGCAGGGAGAGAATTGTCAAGACACTGATGGACCTGCTGAGCCACCATGTAAAGGAAAACCTGCTTACAATATTGGGGTTCCAGGTGCTATATCTACTCATGGCAGAATATGATTGGCAGATGCTCATTGCAACCAAAGGGGGGCTGCATTGTGTGCTGCACTGCATGAAGGAGAACTCCACATCTGTGCTGGTTCAGCAGGCCGGTCTAGCAGTAAGTAGGATGTAGAGACTCCTTGGAATCACATTGCTGGGGAAAGCTTGTTTATTTTCTTTTTTTAAAACATTTCTACTTTTTTCAGAATAACATAGTCACAGGGCAGTTTACAATCAGAAGTTTAAAACAGTGCAATTAAATAAGCGATTTAAAACTGAGGAGCAATCAAAACAAGAAGCATAAAATACGAAAAGGATAAACAAAGCTTATTGTTTTGCTTTATTGAAAATCCACACTTGAGATATTTGGACCAAATCTCCAGAGAGGGATTTTCAAATATGGACCATTTTCTGAAAAAAACTCTATCCCTTGTAGAGTTGCAAGGTCTGGTTCACAGTCCAGATCTAAGCTGCAAAGATATCTAACTGCAGTGGGTGATCAGCAGTCATTGCTTCCATGTCTTTTCTTGCCTTGAGGAAACCCAAAACAGCATCTTTCAGATTTGATAGTGCCATTATCAGAAGCTTATATCTTCTTTATACTCATATGCTTTAATAAGCATATGAGCATAAAGCGTGAAATATTAACTACGTCTACTTTGCTTTTTGTGAATGAAGAGAACTGTTGGAGATTTTGATCCCAATCTACATCTTGTCCTCTTTTCTTTCTTGCTTTTGAGCTGCTGTATTTGACTCCCAGGTACTGAAGATGCTGTTGGATGTGGAGAACTATAAGTTACCAAGGGCCCGTGGGAAGCTCCAACCTGTTGACAGCTCAGGATTCCAGACAATGCAACAGGTCTTGGCCAGCATTGATTCTGCTTCCAGCAAGGACATTGGCAACTTACTATGTGTCATCCCTGCTGCAGTTGAGAAGATGTTGGGCACACCTGGGTAAGCTCAAGTGAGAATCTTGGTGAAACAAAGGGTTATAACTGTATGGCAGCTAAAGGCCATTCAGCACTATGGGGAAAATATTTTTGAGCTTTGGAGGCAAGGATTTCAATTTCTCTTTTGTTAAAAAAAAATCACCCTAGCAAATATATAAATAATTAGCCTTCATTGTTTGGAAAATGAATTTTACTATACTCCCTTCTACTTCCTCTCAGCACAGGCTGCTTTAAGATCAAGTGTTAATCCTTATCCTTCTTTCCCAGAGCCTCAGAAGCAGTTCAGGATGGGCTTCTGGTGCTCAGCAAGTTGATTGATTATGATAAGACCCTGGCACAGCAAGTAGAAAACTCTGACCTTCGTGGTGCCCTTTGGAACTTCTGTCACTTAGGCCAAAGCTCAGACCCAGTCATGGCTCACAAAATGCTCACCCGTCTGCCTGAACATAAGCCACCACTGAACAAACAGGATGCAGGTATGAAACATCCCAGTCTTTAGTGTAAATCCTTCTCAGTAACTATGTATATTGTGATATCTGAATCAGGAGTGGGTTCTACTTACCTTTACTACCGGTTCGCAATGGGAGCGCACGTGCGCATGCGTAGACCATCAATTTTGATGTTAGGGCAGGTGGGCGGAGCCTCCCGCCATTTTTACTACCAGTTCTAAGGAACCGGACAGAACCGGGAGCAACTCACCACTGATCTGAACTCTCCTTTGCATTCTAAAGACCATCGTGATTGGCAGGTTGTCATTTCCCTTTTCACAGATGTAGCACAATTTTTTAGAAGGGCTAACAAATATCACTACTGGTATTACTTTGGGGGTACTTCTAGGAATTTTGGTCAGAGAAGTGAGTGAGATTCCTCCCTTCCCAATATTTTGTTTTTTCCAAAATAAAGTTTCTGGACCAGAAAGCATTTCATTTATGTCCTTCCAATGTTTTACCTCCCCAACCAGACTCTGCAGCCTTCTTTAATCTTCATGACATGAATATCAGAAAGCTACTGAGTAGTCTGCAGACAAACAGTGTTTGGAAGGAGATGGCAATGGAGCTGCAATGCTTCCTCTCTGACAAAGGTGCCTTTTTTGAGGAAACTAGCCATGAGTTTCTGGTAAATATGCCAATTCAGAAAGACTTGACAAAGCAGGATTCTGAAAAAGAAATACAACTGGGAATGTTAAGGTAAGGCTGCTATATTTCAGTAATAGTGTACATGTTTTAAGTGTATATGTTCCTATTTGGAATTCCTAGAGATGAACTGAACAATAAATGGACCTCCAGCTATTGAATCTCATTAAGTCAACCAGTATAGCCAATGATAAAAGATTACGGAAGTTTTAATCTTAACAACAATTGTACTGTAGTACAATTACAGCAACAAAGGTACTTCTCCTTTCAGTACAGGATATCTTAGATTCCATCTAATCTAATGTTCTCACCCTGAAAGTTTTCTTCAGAAAAGGAAGTGACTTGTTGCCTTGCAGATGTTGGACTATAACTCCCACACCTTTGGCTATCCTGATTGAAATTGAAGGCTGGACTATTAGGATTGTTAAGAGATAAAGTATGTTCATTTGCTGGTGAGCACATTTAGATTTATGTTACTTGGTAAATTAATGTATCATGAGGATTTCCCAAATAAACTGGCAGTTCTACGATTTAGGTTACAATTTAAAGCTACAGAAGAAATAATAGTAATTATTATGTAGCTACAGAAAGCTACAGAAGAAATAATAGTAATAGCACTTAGACTTCTATACCGCTTCATAGTATAGGCAAGACTACTTGCATATTTCAATTAGATTACAAGGTGTTAGATTACAAAATGATTAACATAAGAATCAGTCACTTTTGTTTTAGGTATATATGTATTTTCAAAGTGCTTTTTCTGAAAGAAGCTACTTTTCTTTTTTTGATCCAGGCTTTTGAACAAGTGTTTGGATAGTTCATGGAAGGATGTAGTATCCTGGCATAAGTGCATTGAGCCTTGCTTGTCTTCCATAAACAGACACATAAATGATCGAGAGGTGAGACAGTGGAAATCTAGGAGTACCAACCAGAATCCACATATACGATATGGTCTCATAGCTGGACCATTATCTGCTTGTTATTCCAAGCATTTAGAGGCATGTCTTTTTCACCAAAGAAGAGGTGCATCCTGCATTTTCTTGTCCTTGTTCCAACTTTTTGCAAATAGTGATTTGTTTTTAATAAACTGAAAACTAGTACTGTACTCTCTCCTTGTTTTTGTTGGATTTATTGCTGAGGTTGCTATTTATTTATTTATTTATTTATTTATTTATTTATTTATTTATTTATTTATTTATTTATTGGTTCGATTTATATGCTACCCTTCTCCGGAGATTCAAGGCGGCTTACAATGCGTTAAGCAATAGCCTTCATACTTTTGTATATGCCTGGTTAGTAGGGCTTTCGTCCCCCCCAAGTGGTATTCTTTTTTATACAAAGTCAGTTTATTGCCCCCACAATCCGGGTCCTCATTTTACCTACCTCGAAAGGATGGAAGGCTGAGTCAACCTTGAGCCTGGTGAGATTTGAACTTGCAGTAATTGCAGACAGCTGGTCCTATTTAACAGCACTTTAGTCTGCTGCGCCACCAAGGTTCTTTTCTGCTTCTGTTTTGCTCCTGCAGTTTGTTTTTTGCTGTTATATTTTAAATGGGTTTTTGTTATGTTTTATAGTTGCCAGTTATGGCAATTGTTGAGAAAATTGAGAGAGAATTATTTAAATAAATAAAATGTAAAAGTCAGATAAGAAATGCAAATTGCTTTTTTTTTTAATGCAGAAAAATATATTGTTCAAAATTCTACTGCCTTAATTCCTTAAAATCTCCTTTTAATGACTTGCTCTTTAGAATGGATGTCTGGCACTTGTAATATCTTGAACTAAAGTTCCCTTAATGCTTGCTGGTTATTGAAAATGGGCAACTTGTACTAAGTTGCAGGTTCCTTACCTTTGCTTAGAAGGGTTTCTTTTCTGAGGGACAGTGGGCCCAAGGTGTTTAGTACAGCACATACATTCCATCCCCCAAGAATGAGTTGGAGAAAGAGGCTCAAACGCCACACAGGAAACCTTCAGGGACTAACTATTTGTGTTTTTGTGTTTGCAGATTGTTCAAGAGTTCATTAAATTCTTATACCGCCTGGCCTTCATCAACAAAGACTGTGCTGTTGTAATGTGCTCTTCTGGCATTAGGGAAGCCTTGAGCAAAGTCTTAGAAAAACACAGCTCCGGCCTTTCTCAAGTGACAGAACTGAGGGATCTCATGAATAACTGTGAGAAGCCTGCTAGCCTCTATCAGAAGATGACAGCCACCATCCTGGCTGGTTGCATCCAGGTGAATTTTTTCTTCTTTGGCTAATAATGTCTAACTTCAGGGAGCAGACTGAGGATCAGAGTTTCTTGGTAACATGGTGCTCAGATCTACTTTTATCCAAAGAAAATATAAAACAAACTCACAGTGCCTTTAGATACTCTTATCCAACTGGATACTCTTCACATAAATCAGATTACAGCTTTTATACAGTGCAATCATTGGCAGTGCTGGCCTCTCAGTCTAAATATGGGATTCTTTTTTTTCCAATGTAGCTCTGCTGTGTTGTTTAGCCAACCTAACTCTATACCTTAGCTTTATTTTCTTTTGTCTCCTTTCCAACATACTTTACAGATGGTTCTAAATCAGATAGAAGAACACAGGCATAGCCATCAGCCTATCAATGTTCCATTTTTTGATGTATTTCTGCATTATCTTTGTCATGGTGAGCATATTGTTAGTGTTGGAGTTTTAGATAACTCATTCCTTCAGAGGCTCTTCCAGCTTCTCCCCTGCCTGGATTTCTTCAATGTTTTCTTTTGTGTATAGGCTGCAGCACTGAAGTAAAGGAAGACAAGTGTTGGGAGAAAATAGAAGTCTCCTCCAATTCTCAACAGGCCAACAAGTTAGTGGATGGAAATGTCAAAACCTACTGGGAGTCAAATGGCACCACTGGATCCCACTACATCAATGTTTACATGCATCAGGGTGTCATAATCCAGTGAGTGTATGCATGAACCAGAAAGAAGGCTTTGAAACAAGGAAATTTGGGTAATGAGTTTTTTCTGCCCCTGAACTGTACTTTATGGGCATAATAAGAAAAATTATTTCTGTCGTATTGCCTATATCCCTTAAGAGGAAAGAGTACACAAAAAGTTTGTTTCCTTACTGAAATATCTAATAGGTCCTGGCTCAACAAAAATATCATGATGGCTCAGATGCCAAATGGAATTATGGTTTTCTTGTTCAGCCAGATCTGGGCAAATGGGTAGCTCACATAGCATAAGAATGGTGTGCCTTTAAATTGTGAGAAAGATGGGCTTTTCAGCTGGGGCTTGGTTCTTATCTCTGAAACTGTTATTCTTGGCTTGTACAGGCAGATGTCACTATTGGTGGCCAGTGAGGATTCAAGCTACATGCCGGCCCGGATTACAGTTATGGCAGGAGAGAGCACTTCCAGCATCAACACCAAGCTCAATATGGTCAGTCCTGAGGGTCCCCCAATAACCTAGGCTTCCACAGCCAGAGGGAAGAGCGCAAAGCTCTTCAGCCTGCCTTGTAAGGATTCCCACTATGAGGAATACTTTTCAGGAGAAAGACTCTAGTTTTGCATGAAACTTGCAGAAAGGTCCTGATTCAGTCACTCATTTATTACATCGATATCCCATATAGCTTGTGTTAGCATTATATCATTTTATATCTTGAGTCTTTGAGACCCAGCCAATATCTTCATGACTTCTACCTACCTGGTAAAAGCTAGCAGAATTGAGTGCTATGGATACTTTTGATTAAACAATGTCATTTATTGGGACCCAGGGCACAAGCCATCTCTCTCTTGGCATCTGTGCTCTGGAATGAGATCATCTCAGAGATTCATGTGACTCCCATTCCGATGGTGTTCCCCAAAGCTTTGAAAACCTGGTTGTTTTCCTGGATCTTGTGTAGAGCCAAGTCAGATGGGCTTTTGGATTTAGAGTGTGTTGTCTGAATGGCCGATGTATTTTGGAATATTTTCTATACAACGTTTGTATATTGCTGTTTATTTTAAATTGTGAGCCACCAGAATCATATTCAGGCATCTAAGATGGAAGGTAATAACTCTATAACAGTATAAATTACTTGTAATGATTTGTCAGAAATCAAATGTTCAGCCATCATTCGACAATTGTTCCCACCATATAAAGGCTAAAATGAGATGAGAGAAAGCAAGAACCAGCCATTTCCAGGTACAGAGAACCAGTCTTTAAAACAATTTGGCTGTCTCCCAAGTCCAGAAAATCCACAACCCAAAATCCTTTAATTTGTGAGGGCAAGGAAAGCATCTACAGTTTAAACTCTGGAATGCAATCATATAGATAAGCTATGAAGATTCTCAATCATCCAGGTCATCGTTTTTTCCCTCAGAAAAATCAGTTCAGTTGCCTTTTCAAAATAAAAACCACTTTTGATATAGATAAACTCTGATTTCCATGCAGAAGGCAAAACATGTTGAATGTAATGTTTATTCCAGTCTGTAGGGTAGATTTTAATTTAGTCAAATCCAGATGGAGAATCTTCTACCAAAATAAACAACCTGTTCACTAACAGCTTGTGTTTGAAGAGCTGGGATTCACTGCTGTGTCCTAGTGTGAAGTCTGACATATGGAATCACATTAATTTTTTTAAAACCTGTGCTCTTAAGTTTGAAGAGACTGGAGTTTGGAGTTCTGTTCCTTTCTATAAAATAATTTGATATCTTCAGTAAATTTACCAATCTCACTGCTCATTTAACTTCGGATGTAATTCATTTAAATACAATTGATGATCAGTCAGCTTGCATTTCTATGGCCTTGAATTTTTATTTAACCAGCCTTTTGGGGATATTCAAATACGTTGGGACATGCTCAAAATGTTGTGTTTGTAGAAATGTCCCTGATGCCATATCATTCTACAACCTCAGATTTTTGTGGTCTCTTCAAATTTCTGTCAAAGAAAGCGACTTTTCATTTTTACTCTGAAAGGCCTTTTTGTTAAAGGCTTTTGTGAATGGACATTTTGTTCATACCATTTTAGTCAGGAGTTGGATTCTTTCTTTTCTAACTGAAGAATAGGAATTTTCACCATATCATCATCGAAGTTTCATTAACATAGTTGACATTCTTTCTCTTTTCTCCACAAAGGTAAATGTCCCACCTTTATCTACCAGAGTGATCCTGTTGGAGAACATGACTCGCTTCTGGCCTATCATACAGATCAAGATTAAGCGTTGCCAGCAGGTAGGTAGGTGTGCTTTCCTTCTGTCCCAACAGCGAGAACAACTGTGTAGTTGGGAAGGAAGCAGACATGATGCACGAGGAGTATACCAGGTTGGAAGTCTGATTTAGACCATTACCATGTGTTTTCCACAGGGTGGCATTGACACACGTGTGCGTGGCATCGAAGTGATGGGCCCCAAGCCTACCTTCTGGCCCATCTTCAGGGAGCAGCTGTGCCAGCGCACACACCTCTTCTACGCTACCAAAGCACACACTTGGTGCCAAGAAATTTCAGCAGACCAGATGCAGTTGCTGCAACTTTTTAACAGGTCAGCAGCCCTTTCCTAATGGAAGACTTTTGTCCTATGGAGGTGGGGAGTTGGCCTGGGGTGGGGGGAAGGTCAGCAAAGAGTCTGTCTCAGAGCACATTTCCTAGATCACAAACTTTCTATGGCTTTGAATTTTTATTTAACCAGCATCTTGGGGATACATTGGGATGTGCTCAAAAAGTTGTGTTTGTAGAAATGCCTCTGGTGCCATATCCTTCTACAGCTTCAGATGTTTGTGGTCTCTTCAAATTTCTGTCATAGAAACTGACAGAAGTGACTAGTGGGAGAGCATCACTATTCTGAGGATACCTTTTCTTTTCCTTATCCTGTTTATTAATATCCATCATATTGTCCAAACTCCATCCTCCCCATTTACTTGCTTTACTGAATCTATATGTACCCATTCTTGGTTGGGTTTCCCCCCCCCCCCCAAATAAAAAGCTCAGTCTGCATCCCTTTCCGAATGCAGGTTGAACAGGGCCTTGTGTCATGAGGAACTGTTTGCCGATCACTTCCTTCCTGATGATGAGGCTGCCCAGGTTCTAGGCAAGACCTGTTGGGAGGCCCTGATCAGTCCCTTGGTGCAGAGAATCACCTCTCCAGGTATGGGCTCCCTCTCCTCTCACAAGTCTTGGCAGCCTTTGCTCTTCCTCTTTCTCAGCAATCTTATGGATTGTTCTTTTTTTTCCCTCCTGTTTTTCCAGGCCCCAATGGTACCAGCCCCCTGTCTTGGCTCCTAAGCCAATACTTGGAAAACCTGGAGGCAGCCACAAGCCAGAACATTTCCTTTAATTCCCGTGTTCGGCGTCTGAGCCATCTGCTGGTACATGTAGACCCCAGTGACCCTGAGCCTGAAGAACTGATGTCTCCTATTCAATGCAGTGAGTCCTCTTCCATGGAACAAATAAAAGTATAAAATGGGCAGATGATCCACACAAAATTAAGAGAGGGATGATGACAAAGATGAAAATTCCATGAATACGTTGTACGGTCATACTGGCAAAATAAGAACAGGCAGCAGAATAGAGTAGAGAAGGACTGGTGGAATGGAGGAGTAGAATGCCATTCTTGATCAGAGGAAAACTTTAAAGGACTCAGAAAATTGGAGAGTGTTACTTGTCTCTCTATTGCTTCCCTGTCCCAGAAGCCTTCCTAAATGCTGTATAAATTTCCTTTTGCAGATAGGAAGAATACCAAGTATAAGGAGTTCAGATCAGCAAGTCTAAAGGTCACCATGAAAAAATCCACCAGTTTGATAAGCATCACACAGTGCTGGAAAGATATTGTGCAGCAGCAGGTAAGGTTGTTGTTCAGCAACAAGAACAGAACAGAGGAGAATTGCAGAGTTGGAAGGGACCTTGGAGGTCTTCTAATCCAATTCCCTGCTCAGACAGGAAGCCCTATACCATTTCAGATAAATGGTGGTCCAATCGCTTCTTAAAAACTTCCAATGTTGGAGCATTCACAATTTCTGGAGGCAAGTTGTTCCACTGGTTAATTGTTCTGTCACGAAATTTCTCCTTAGTTCTAAGTTGCTTTTCTCCTTGATTAGTGTCCATCCATTGCTTCTTGTCCTGCCTTCAGGTGCTTTGGAAAATAAATATTTGAGGGGCTTCATTGTGGCAACACCTCAAATATTGGAACTGTTATCATGAAATATTGGACTGCTATTATGTCACCTCTAGTCCTTTTCATTAAACTAGACATGCCCAATTCCAGCAACCATTCTTTATATGTTTTAACCTCCAGTCCCCTAATCATCTTTGTTGCTCTTCTCTGTACTCTTTCTAGAAAGAGTACAGTCTCAATATCTTTTTTACATTGTGGTGACCAAAACTGGATGCAGTATTCCAAGTGTGGTCTTTCCAAGTGCGGTCTCATAGAGTGTGACTCTTGATACATTATCAAGAAGGCTAGGGCTTTTGCATCTACTGATGCAAACTGGGCTTTACAGTCAAGCAATTGATGTATATTTCATGTTTATTTATAGTGCAGGTGTGTGTGTGTGCTGTTGGAAATGAAGGAGTTCTTAGGGCTCTACATCGGGATCCAGAGACTTTTTTTTTTTTAATTTGATTTATATGCCGCCCTTCTCCGGAGACTCAGGGCGGCTTACAATGCATTAAGCAATAGTCTTCATACTTTTGTGTATTTTATACAAAGTCAGTTTATTGCCCCCACAAACTGGGTCCTCAATTTACCTACCTTAGAAAGGATGGAAGGCTGAGTCAACCTTGAGCCTGGGGAGATTCGAACTTGCAGTAATTGCAGGCAGCTGAATGTTAATAACAGGCTATTAGTCTGCTGCACCACCAGACTTTAAGAAAGACCAGTTGGACACCAAATTCTCAGAGTAAAAGTGTGTCTGCTTTAGGCTCTGTTGTCCACTAAGTTAGGTGGTTTTATTTTTATTGTGAAATGAAAACCCAGTGCATTCCTTAGGCCTTTGGGTTTATAGAAAGATAGAAAATTAGACATGTTGGTAAAACATTCCAAAACAGCAGTCAGCTGTAAAAAAATCAGTCTTGGGTGAAAAAAAGATTTGGCACTGCAAAAGGCTACCTTGAGTTTGGTTCCACTGAACCAGATAGAAAGGTTATGATTTTAAAATACTACACATGTTTCGGTTCCAGGTGAAACAGTTCTTGAAGTCCTTTTGGCAGGCCCCTGACTTTGTGGAGCAATACCATAGGATCTACCAGCACCTCCGTACTGCCATGGAGGAGTTGTTTGGACAGAAGATGTCCTTCTTGTTGGCCTTGCACGATGGCTTCTCTGAAGGCTTGGTACAGCTGCCCTTCTCATCAGCTGCCCATGTGAGTAAGGAATGGGTGGTTGGGAACTAAGATGTCTCTCTAGAATGGAGGTAGGGAACCTGAGGCCCAAGGCCAGATCTGCTCCCTGAAAAGAATTACAGCCGTATATTTAAATATACTGTCAAACCTTCCTGAACAGCTGTGTATCTCTGTCACCTAAAATACAACTGTTTACCTTTAAAATATACTGTGAGACAGGATGATTGACTGAAACACAATTCTATTATATGTTAAAACAGGAAAAGTAATTTCAGAAACATATAACGTTTCTTTTGAAGGTACTATGCTCGTGTATAACCAGTGTGAGTTTTTTATAAGGAATATAAATTATTTACCGTAACTCTAAATCAGTGATGGGTTACTCCCGGTTCGTACCGGTTCACAAGAACTGGTAGTAAAAATTTGTAGTAGTTCGGAGAACCGGTAATAACATTGGCTGACCATGCCCCCGAACTGGTCCCCGGCCTGGTCACCGCTCACTTACCCCGCCCACCTCATCAGAGGCTTTTTTTTTTTACTTTTAAAAGCATTTTTTCTACAACCTCTTAAGTCGAAGAAGTTGTAGAAAAAAAAATGCCTTTAAAAGCCTCTGGCAATCACAGCTGAGTTGCCTGATCGTCAGAGGCTTTTAAAAGCATTTTTTTCTGCAACCTCTTAAGGTTGTAGAAAAAATGCGTTTAAAAGTAAAAAAAAAAAAAAAGTTGGCCATGCCCACCCAGTCACATTACTTTCCCACCACCAAGCCACGTCCACAAAATAAGCCACACCCACAGAACCGGTAGTAAAAAAAATTTGAATCCACCCCTGCTGTAAGCCACACACAAATAAGAAGTAGTTGAGCTGCTCATTTAGGAAAGCAAAGGTAGCTTCAGAAAACTTTCTATTTTAGTCTTCCCAATCTTATAATGACTAAACTGTTCATATCTCATCCTTGACAAACCTTTACGAATGGATAGCTTGAGATAACATCATTTTCTCTTAAATTCTTATATTAAAATATTTATTAGTTTAATTTTTTTCCTGAGACAACTTTATATAGGGAAAACAACAATCCCAGTATCTATTCACTATCTTTCTTAACAGCCTTCTGTAATTTTTCAGAACCTACCTATTTAAGAATCAAACATTTTTGTACTTTTAACAAACCACATTTTATAGGTCTTCCTTGCTCTGAGTTCCATTGATACAAGATATCAGAGTTATACCCAATGTAGGATATTTTCTGTAAAATTAGCTGTCAGATGCTGCTTTTAAGAATTGTGTGACAAAATGTTTTTTCTTGAAGTTTTTTTTCTATATTGGTTTGACTAATATGTGCCTACAAGTGAAATGATACAGGTGATGCTTTTCTTGTCATAATTAAATTGTAACTTTTAATGTGACACAAAGGAAACTATGGTAATTCTTGACTTACGATCGTTCATTTAATGATGGCACAAAGTGGTCTGCCTTGGAAAAAGTCACTTACAACCCATCCATGAAGTTACAACCATGGCACCAGCCTGCTGGTCACATGATCACAATTTGGGCACTTGGCAACTTATGATAGTTTCAGCATCTTGCAATCAAATGATCACAATTGGCTATCTTCCCAGTCTGCTTCTGATAGACAAAGCCAATGGGGCAAGCCAGAATTGCTTAATGACTGCATGATTCACTTAATGATCATATGATTTGCTTAATGACTGTGATAAAAATTGTTGTAAAATTGGGTCTAGTCATGTGTGACTTGTTTAACGGTTACATCACTTAGCGACTGACACTTGGCATCTCCTTTTCTATGACTTCAGGTGAGCGAGAAGTTCGCCCAATACATTGACCAATGGATCCGAGACAGCTGGATAGACTCAACTAACACAGAAAATGTGCAGCATCTGCAAAAGAGCCTTGAGCCCATCAGTTTCCTGGCAGAATTGGAATTGGCCAACATTTTTGAACATTTCTATCGGTGAGGGAAAGGAAAGAAAATGAGAGTTTGCTGCACCTGCAAACAAAGGAGACCGATCTCATGCTGCAAGTTCTTGGACAGTAGTGGTTAAGCACTTTAGTCTGCATGAAACCATCCTCAAAAATACAAGTGTGGTACTAGATTTTGTTCTGAGGGATAATGGGGCCAGATGGCAGATCAGTCTGGTTCTTGCATAACTAGATAGGTCTATCCCAAAGGTGCTTTTTCAAGAGACAACTGGACTTTCTTGCTTTTTCTTTGAAGACATTTCACTTCTCATCCAAGAAGCTTCTTCTGGTCTGACTGGATGGTGGGGACTGAAAAGATTTATATTCCATGCAGACAATTGGTCATTTGCATTCTTTTAGAGTGTCATTGAGGCCACTCAACCTCCAAGTAGCTTTCAATGACTCTAAAAGAATGCAAATGATCAGCTGTCTGCAAGGAATATAAATCTTTTCATTCCCCACCATCCAGACAGAACTGAAGAAGCTTCTTGGATGAGAAGCAAAACGTCATCAAAGAAAAAACAAGAAAGTCCAGTTGCCTCCTGAAAAAGCACCTTTGGGACAACCATGACCTGGATGACTGAGAATCTCCATAGACATATAGGTAGGCCTATATCTCAGAAGCAGGGTGTCAGTGGAGGCATGGGAATGAGTGTAGGCTGATGGCAGAGCTCTGGTTGTTTTTTAATTTCACCCAGATTTCCTTGTCTCTTCAGATACTATCTAGGAGAACGTCTTCTGTCTCTGGGCAATACATGGCTGGAGTCGGCCGTGGTAGAGCAAATTGGACTCTGCTTCCCCAGTCGTTACCCTCAGCAGATGCTGAAGAATTTGAGTGAGCTGGAGCAGCAGCAGCAGGAGTTTCACCTTTTTCAGCTCCAGCAGCTTGACAAACATTTTCTGGAAGTTGATCAGGAAGGAAGATTGAAAGAAGAGGGAGAGGTGAGCTGGATAGGAATGCCGCTTTTAGGGCTTAAATCTCCAAAGTCAAGGCATTTTTTCCCTCACACATCTTTTTTTCCAGTTATAAATTACTAGAATGTTCTGCTATCCTTCAGAAGCCATAAACCTGATACTAGATATGTTTTGCTCCCAGATGATGCAGGAGAAGTCATTCTCACAGGAGGAAGAAGCAGAGGTGAAGGTATTGCTCTTGTCTCCCTTCTGCTGGACCATCCCTCCACTGTGCTTCCTGAAAGACCCTATCAGTTTTTTTCCCTCGTCCCTCAGTCAGCACCTGAGCAAGTTTGCAGATTTCTACATCCAGAGTGAGTATAGCACTGTCCTCAGCCCAAATTTTGTTGGGTCCCTTCTATTTCTTTCTGAATTACTTGATAGTAAGCAAATCAATATCACTTTACCCAAAGATGATAGAGAAAAGAGAGAATTGGGTCAGATTTTTAGAGATCCAAGCAAGCATCAGATTTGGATCTATCATCTATCTATCATCTATCTATCTATCTATCTATCTATCTATCTATCTATCTATCTATCATCTATCTATCTGCATTATGATATCCGGTTAATATGAAGGGCAGGGAATGGCCTCATCCCAAAGTCCCAGCATAACAATGTAGGGTGTTGGTATGCCTGCGAGCACACTAAAACTGCTGAATTCTGTGCCCTAATCTCTTTTTTAAAAATGTTCTTAATTAAAGAAAAGGGAAGTTTGTATATTATGTAGACCTTTATTTCAAACTATATCTCTGGATCATACAATATAATATGCCATGTAGTACCCTGTTTCCCCCAAAATAAAACATCCCCTGATAATAAACCCAATCCGGCTTTTGAGCACATGGCAATAAGGCCAAGTGCTTATTTCAGGGTTCAAAAACATAAGACAGGGTCTTATTTTCGGGGAAACATGGTAGAAGCCTACTGTTCTTAGAAGATCAAATGAAGGATGGCTGTAATTTAGTGCTTTACTTTCCATGGTGTGAGTGTGTTGATAATATGGACTCAACATTCTGAATATTCCAATTGAGTCAAAAGGTTGGGAACTGAACTAGCTCTTTGATTATCTGAAAGCTGCACATATGGATGAAATTGCCCAGCCATTATGAAACTATTTAAATGTCAGCTTGAGATGAAATATTATAATGGTTGTCCCAAAGATGCTTTTGCAAAAGGCACCTGGACTTTCTGGTCTTTCTTTGAAGACGTTTAGCTTCTCATCCAAGAAGCTGCTTCAGCTCTCTTCAGTACTTCTTCAAGAACATCCAAGAAGCTTCTTCAGTTCTCCCAGAGCTGAAGAAGCTTCTTGGAGGAGAACAAAATGTCATCAAAGAAAAACCAGAAAGTCGAGTTGTCTCTTGAAAAAGCACCTTTGGGACAAGCATGACCTGATTGACTGAGAATCTCCCTAGACATTACAATGGTTAGGCTTCTATTCTTGATGAGCCATTTCAGTATGCAGGAGATTGATACTGGCAATCTTGCTGATGTATCTTGGTCACTGATCCCTTCATCTCTTGCAGGTCAGAGCTGCTTTGGGTTGGAGCATACAAAGCCACCACGCTTACAGTGGACTTGGTTGGGCCATGCAGAGCTGGATTACCAAGGCTGCATCCTGCAGGTGTCCACCCTGCAAATGTACATTCTTCTGTGTTTCAACAGTGCTCAGGTCCTGACCAATATTCCCTCTGATTTCTCACTTTGCATGTGTGGGGGAAAAAATGTTTTATGCAGCTTTTCCCAAACCAAGTAGAAATGTGTGCACCACAATATCAGTATAGAAATAAATTGCAAATACGTGAGCTAAGTGTCACCTTAGGTGTGAAACCACCTGGGTGACCTTGGGCCAGTCAACCTCTCTCAGTTGTAGGAAGAAGGTGATGGCAAATCAAATGTTGCCAAGAAAACTGCAAGGGACTAGTGCAAGCAGCCACCAGGAGTTACACACACAAAGGAGGCAGTTGTAAATTGACTCTGGATGTACTCCAATTTGAGAAATTTCTGTATTATGCAAATAAATGTAGTTTCTCCTTTTTATAAGCAAAGGAAGTTCTGTCCCTAATAGTGAGAAGTAACTTGTATTTGGCCAGATGGTTTGCTTGATTCAGGCTTCTATCTTATTTTATAGCTTCTCTCCAAATTAATTGAAAATGTTTAAATTCTCAAAACCAATTTTAATGACAGTTTGTCTATTCTGAGACAATTAAGAATCCTGAAGTGTTCTACAATCTTAACAATCTCGGCATGATCTGCACTTTGAGGTTTAAAAGTGTTAATCTGAATTGGATATTATTTTTTGAAATCTTGGTGAGGCTGAATTGATTCTGTGTGTGCTGTGTTGGGAATCCTTTGCCTGGATCCCTTGTCTGTAGTTTATTGCACTAATCAGTCTTGGAAGTGGGCATTTCATTGCACTTACAATCTCTCTCAGAATGGGTTTAAAGACTACATGTCACAACATTCTCCTACCTCTTTCTGCATATTCAACTATTTTTTCTTCTATTGGTTTCAGGAAGTTTCTGTGGAGACGCTATTAGAAGTCACAGGTCTCTCCCGTGTCTTCCTAGGTCATGCCCTGAAACCCCTGATAAAGGAGAATGGGATCCTCTCCCAGAGACAGAGTAAGCGGAGGGGGCTGGGGAATATTCTGTAAGAGAGTGAAGATTTTGTCCTTTTGGAAAATTAACTCTAGTATGTTGGGTGGAAATCTTGACTCTGGGCTGCTCCTGTGGAGCACTTGGTTTACCAGCTTCAGTTATGAAACGAGAGCACTTTCTGGCTAGGTATGTCAGATGCCCCTGAATTTAGAAAGGCCCACCTTTCTGCTCCTCTAAGGCTGAGTCTTCTTTGCTAGGTATTTTAAGACTGAATGAGGAGGTACTAAGTCATGTGTCTGGTCAGAGCCTGTGCCTCTTGCCCAAACCGATGTACCTGAATGTGGAAGAAAAAGTATGCCATGCTGTGGAGGAAAAAAGGAACATCATCTGCTGTTGCCTCAACCAGATCCTGAAGGAGGAGAAAGAGATACATATCGACAGCCTGGTATTCAAGGTATAGATTACAAAGATTCTACCCTTTTAGTCATCCCAGCTGGTAATCCAAGGAAATACTATAACTGGCAACTGAGATTGGAATTTCCATTGCTAAGTGATATGGTTATAAAGTGCAGTGTCACATGACATTGCTTGGTGATGGCAATGGTAGCAATTCAGGTTGCCAGTGTAACCCCAGGCCTATGCAGGATGTTAACCGAGGACCTCATGTGATCGCAACATGGGAAGAGGCGGGAATCCTAGGCAAGCAGGCCAGGGAGTAGAGGCTGTGGGCAGGTGCTGCAGGTAGGCGCTGAAGAGCCTGGGCGGGAGCTGTAGGAGGCCAAATGGGTGCCAAGGGTAGGTGTATCATGGAGTGCTGGTGGGCAGGCGAAAGCCACTTGCAACCTCCTGCCAGCTTTCCCCTCGACTTTGTTTGTGGGAAGCCAGCAGGGACAGTTGAAAATGGCGGATCACGTGATCCCAGGATGCTGCAATTGTAATTGTGAACTGGTTGCCAAGCACCTAATTCTCTATCACTTGACCATGGGAACATTGCAACGGCTGCAGTCTGTGATCGGTCGTCCTGGTTCAGAGCCATCATGACTTTGAATGTCGCTAAATGAGTGGTCATAACCCAAGGACTACCCGTAATTCCATTCGTTCTTTTTGCCTCTTCCAGGTAATCGATGCCTGCCACAAACAGAGGCGTGGATCACCTTCAGACTTCTTGGGAAACGTCTGCAGCAGTGCGGATGTCCTCTCTTGTATCTTGAATTTGCTAAATCAGGGTTTTGTCCAGCGCCAGGAAAATTTTCCACAACTTTTACAGTATGTATGTGTGGATATTCCAACCCCAGCAGTGCCAAAGAATCAGCCTCAAGTAGTATTTCAGACTGTGAAAATCAAAAAAGTGCCCAGTATGCCTTGTATGGAGAAGAAACAGACATTTTCTACATTTAGGTAAAATTCCTATATGTGTGTGTGACAAGCTCGGAAAGTAAGCCTAAAAGCTGTTCGTATAAAGCATTAGTATGGCTGTAGGGAGTTTCTTGTGTTTTGTCCTTTCTACTGGTTTTCCACATGTAGAACTGAATGCTCCAACATTAAAAGCTGGGAAGAAGAACTGATCAAGTGTTGCACAGAGCAGTTTTCCAGTAGTAAGGTTTTTTTCCCTTCCTGAAAAGAACTGGCTCTGTTCTTCCACTGGCTGGCCGCAGTTGAGGGACATGACTTCGGGAATAATTCAACACGTTTTTTTCTCTACAGCTTGAGTAAGGTGGCTAGATTCTAAAGCCAGACAGTTCAAACATTTCCGCCGCCCCCCCAATCGCCTGCCCACATGTATCTGCCTATTTTCAGACTGTTGTGTTGCCACAGGATGTAGTTGAAACTTCCTTCTCTTATATGATGGATGGTTGGTATCCATCATTCCCTTTATAGTCTTTAATGCATGAATCTTGCCTTAAGGCAATGAACTTTTTCTATTTATTTGCAGTCCTTGTCTACTTTACAAGTGTGTTTTTGTTGTCTAGGTTCATTTACCTAGAAAAACCACTCTTCAGTAAAGAATACATTTTTTAGCATTTCTATTATCACCTGGGTTTCTTATTTAGACCCTTGCATCCCTGTCCAATAATAGTTGATAAAGATTGGATGAAAGGAAGTTTTAAATACAAGTAAAAATGAGGTGCCTGTTTCATTTCCTTGACCTTGAAATTAAGAAAATTCTTCATTTAAAAAAATATATATTTTATTTGCAGCATACAATTTCAGATGATTTATCTACTTGCATTTTGCACATTATGAGCAAGTAGTTGCTTATTTCACTATGACAATTAATTGGTTGGGGGCTCTTTATTGATTTCCCCCCCCCCCCATAGCGGTAGATTGCTTGAGATGTAAAAATGAGAGATGGAAGTTCCTGCTCAACAATATTTCCATGGTTTATGTTTTGAGCTGTCTAGCTATCTAGTGCAGCTGCCTTCCACTTCAATTCTTTTCTATATGTTATCCAAAATCTTGGAAGCACATCAATTGCCAGATTCCAAATAAAGACAAAATTTGGCACTATACAGAATGTGGCTTTTTGAATTACAGCCAGAATTGTGCATGATTTAGCATAAACTAGTGGTTCTGGCTCACAAGCCCAACAACTCACTTCCACCTTCAATAAATGAAAAACAACAAATAGGATCTGCTTTACTTTGTATGCTCCAGGGAGCCTTTTTGCACATATTCCCTTTTTCCACAATCTCAGAATGGAAAGCGAATTCTTTAGATGGTAGAAGCACTGTAACTATTTAACATTTATGAAAAGCAACTTTCAGCTGGTTGATTAATATGGTTAATTCTTGTGCGGCCAACAGACCCTTTTCATTTTGTATCTTCCCACTCAGTTGTACTTTTCTTGACATTCTTCCTTCCTTTGCAAATAGTTTTTATCAATATGCAGTTCCACCAGAGAATAGGATCGGGCTAAGAGGAAGTCAAAAGGGACTACAAGTGATTGAATTGGAGAGTGTGATGATTTAGTGTAAAAGACTAAACCTCTGGCCTCTGTGACCAACCCAGATTGGATCCTGCAACATTATCCTGGGACACGTATATTTGCCTTCATTTGTAGTGCAAAATCCTGCAGGATTTAATTTTAAAAAGAAAATACTGTATAGGCTTTCCTTCAAAAGAGTTCCTACCTCCCTTGCCACACAAATTGTATTCTGTGCAAGGGTTGAAATTTAAATGCCAGATATGTGTTTTATTACCTTATGTTTTTTTTACATCAATATTGATAGTGATAGCAGGAATAGGCTGCATTTTTCTCCAAGGAGGACTGCATTCATTTGGCAACAGAACCGTAACCTGTGCAGGCAAAGTGCAATCAAAAGATTGGAACATCCTGCTCCATCCTTCTTTCTTCTCTTTCTTTTTCTCTCCTCCCTGCCCAGAGAGACAGACTGCTATCCCAACAGTTTGATGACAGTCAATTATGAAAGGAGGCTTATGTATCTCCATAGTCACAGATTGTCCACAATTGATGAAATGATTTCATTACACTTTTCACTATTGTGCAGAACTTAGAACTATTATTATTCATGAAAGTTATATGCTGACTCCCAATGATGTGCAATGATTTTATAGATCTACAAGTCTGAGTCCACTGAGCTTCATAAAAAGGCTTTGTCCATTCAAAATTTGCTGTTGAATTGTAATTTTAAAGGTAGAGAATATTCATTAAAACATGGGAAGTGGCCACGTTAATTGTAATTCTTATCCTGATCTTGCCATGTCTTGGCATATAGTTCAAGACTAAATACCCTCCAAAAGATTATGTCATCTTGGTTCATAAACAAGCAGACAAGGAAATATAATGCGGTAAATATAGTCATTCACTTCTGTCAAGAGCTGCTAGGATAATTGGCCATATTTTTACTGTGTTCCCAGTCAAAGAATAGGGATGCCTACATAGACACAGTAGGTGGATAGAGAGTTGCTTAACTGCACACAAAAGACCTAAAGCTGCCAGTTGAATTGTGCTGTTTTCTTCTGGTTGATAAACACCCCCCCCCTTTTCATGTCTGTTTCTTAAATTCTCCATACTTTTTAAAACTGTATTGTGGGGGGCAGAGGAGCCTCAAGTATTCAAGCAAATCCAAAACTAAGCGCCTCTTACTTTGTGAAATCCTTTGACTGATGCCCTGTGCCTCTAAATCACAAAGAACAACAAGATGCAATTCCAAACAGAATAAAATCAAGTTGATACTCTCAGTCACAATGGTACCAGCATTAATTTATTAAAATTAATCCAGAAAGCAACCTTACATTAACAAAAATAGAATCTTGTAAAAAATGGGATTTACCCACCATCCCTGCTCTCCTAACCACGAGCAGCTGCATTCGCCAGGCAGGCGCAATACCACAGTTTAGGTCTCTTAAGTTCGGTAGGACACACTTTCAAGGCAGGGGACGTTGGTTTGGCAGTTCTAGTGACACAAGCTCCAGGAAGGTAGAGATCCTGGCCTTTGGAACCTGCATGATTTAGGGGTAAGAGAATGGATGGGGACATTTGTGAATCCAACTAGGGAAGGAAAGGAGGCACTAGTAGCTGCCTTCTGACGCTTACTGTATTTTCGCAAACTCGTTTGTTCGATCTCTCCTGATCAATTTAAGCAATTTTAAAGGTCTGTGACTATCCTCCCTGCACATCATTGTACCTGACCTTGCCAGTGGATCTCATACTTGCCAGCTTCATCAGTCTGCCAGTGCAACAGATCTATTACAACAACACAGCAAAGGTGGAACTGGAAAAAACTTGTGGATGTAGTAACTACCCTGAGACCTGTCCAGGCAAAGTGCTGATCTGGGGAAAGGGGGAAGGGAGCACTCTTACTGGCTATAAATGGAGTGTATTGATTCATAAGCCGGTTCCATCACACGAGATCACCTTTTTCTTCATCTGAATAGAAGTGGAAGGGGCCCAGCTTGCCCCACCACTTCCATGAGCTTTAGATATTAGTACTTGACCTTACCTATACAGCAGGGCACAGCAGTGTGGTACAGGCAAAGAAAACAAATATGCAACATTTACGCAGAGCTAAAATACTTCTGGGGAGAAAATGGCCTAATCCCCTCCCTCAAGATACATTTTCTTAAATTCTGAAGAAGAACTTAAGCCTACCTGCCCCATTCCATCTTCCCCTCCCCAATACTGCTTAGCAAAGGTTTCTTCCTCTATTTTACTTGAAAGGGTGTTCATTCAGAATCTATTCTACGATTCTTCCCTTTACTTGGCTGGAAAAGAGTACTCTTGCCTGCTGGTTCATGGCACAGCCTGGACCATTTTCTCCTTGCTGAAGTCCAGCTATGTGCCATCTCTTTCTGTTGTGCTCACAGCTGATGAATGGAGGAAACAGTTCCTCTAGCTGCTTTCTTAAGAACAGTTTGAGCAAGGTAAGAACAACACAAAATGGCTCATATACCACCTCCTGTTAAGCAGCCTCCGGAGCAGATCCAAAAATCATGCTCATCTCAGTTGTCAACCCCTTATTCTTGTGTTATATACCCTGCTCTACACATTCCAATTGTGTGAGAAGTCAAACAATGCCAACTCCACTCCAAATAAGAGGAGAGACGGGGAAAAGTGGCTTCATGTTAAAAAGAAACTGCAAGATGCCAAAATGCCGTAGCCCTCAGTGAATTCTGAGATAGAGGACTGCCAATTGGCACTTGTGGGCAGAGGTCAACTGGTCCAGAACACTTCTGGGCAAGCCTGGCTAAGCAATTCTAGGAAAAGGGTCTTAACATACATTTTCTCCCTATTAGAGATTTATAAGGTAGCAGCAAGTTAAAAGAAGACCTGCCTTCCCATTTCTTGCCCAAGCCAGCTAGACAAGGCATGGAAAGGAACTCTGTCCCACCTTCCACAAGCAACTTGGGAAGCTATTCAACCCTGCTCAGCCTCTTTCATTCCTGATGTCACATGAACAGAGAAGACAGGCCTAATATTCTAGTCTTAAGAGTCTGTGTTGAAAAGCCATTTCTCTCTTGTGTTTTTGTGTGTGCATCTGTCTTCCTTCCCTTTCCTACAACCCAAGTTCACGTTAAACTAAAAAACTCATGGGTGAGACATAAAGCAAATCGGGGTGCTCCCTGCACAGAACAAATGGAGCAAGTAGAGCCCTTGCCAGAGTCGGCTCTGTATGGGCAGTCAGTCTTCAGAAGCAAAGGAAACGGATGCTCCTCCTCCTGGTCTATCTGGCAGAGCCCGGACTCTTCCATATGGTTTGTTTCATATCACACACTCTTTGAGTAGCCGAAGATGCCAATTGGAAAATGTTTGACGTGCGTTGGCCACTGTGCAGCCAGCTGGAAAAACTTCACATCATTCCACTCCACACCATCAATACAAACTGTAAGAAAGATGACAGAACATTATCATTCTGAGTGGTAAAGGCAGGATAAATATCTAGGTCAAGCTCTGGGGCATGTGTGAAGGGAGAAAAGAGCCGTATTATATAAACACACTGCGTGATGGTTCTGGTGAAGGAATTCTACCTTAGCTTTTTTGTGACGTATCTTCCTCAAACTGAAATCCATCTGATATATGGAGACTAGAACCCATCTGGAGGTCACCAGATTGGGGAAACCAGGGGAAAAGACTTGGCAGACCCACATGGAGACCTGTTCTCTGACCTTGTCAAGTAGAAGGAGAACTCTGCCATCGTTTCCCAACCTGGAAAACGTTGAGCTGACCCACTTACCACGCAACATAGTGTTTTGATGCTTGGCTGTGCAGATCAGGCGGGTGATTCCTTCAATCACTTGGCTTTTGGGTTCCAAATCCTTCTCCTTAGGTTTCTTGCTTAGGAACATCACTGCCAAGAAAAGATCATGGCTCAACAGCTAAGTGCAAACTATAGTTAAACCACTAACGGGCAAAGTAGCTAATCCTAGAGTCTACGTCAAACCACAAGCACTTTTTGTTTATGAATTATGTTAATTTATACCCAAAGGGCACTCAGGGTGACTAAAGGCAAACAAGGTAAGACAACCTGAGGGGGGGGGAAATGCTCCTTAGATGATTTGGTTACCTTTTTTGTTTTTCTCCTTGGTGACCACAGTCATGGCCATGGTGTTAGGTGGGGTGAGCTCTCCTGGACTAGGGATGCGGCTGACCTGCAGGGAGCGGAAGTTGCTTTTCAGGGTGTTCTTTATGCCTATTTCCCGCTTTTCAGCCTCTTTTCTCTTCTCTGGCCCCTGAGCTGTCCAGTAGTCTACCTGCAGACCCATCACCTCCACACCAGGGCTCAAATTGCTGAAAGAAGAGAAAAAGAAAAACCATCTGAATGAAGTTGTGCCTCCACAGGAGGAGATGGCACTGTACCACTCCATCCTATAAGAGAAGATCAACATGCTGTCATTTAGCTGAATTCTGAGGCGTTCTGATCTCTCATGCGCTGTTAATGTTTGCTTTTGACTTTTACTGGACAGCATTTTTCCTCTGAGCAAAAATGCTGCTATTCATGTACCTTTATAAATAGAATGACTTGCCCCTTTTTATTTTTCAAGTCAATGTTTTACAGTCCAGTGTACAGCCCAGTGTAACCAGTCTTTGATATTATCTCATTCCTTTAATGGTCTCCAGCCATTCAATAGTTGAATTTTCTTGATAGATATTCTTTTCTCATGGAACCACATTCCTGTGCCAATATTGCTATGGTCCCCAAACAAAGAATTCTGGCAATACCTCCAGCATTTCTACAGTAAGAATAAACTAACTGGATAAGTACCATATTTTTCGGAGTATAAGACGCAGCAGAGTATAAGACGCAGCAGAGTATAAGACGCAGCAGAGTATAAGACGCACTTTAGTTTTTGGGGAGGAAAATAAGAAAAAAGCTGATTGGTGGGTGGATCGGCCTCCCGCAATACCCCCAACCAGCTGTTTCCAGAGGTGAATTTTAGCAACAGGTTCGTTGGTTGTGAGCTCTCTGCCTTGCTTTTTTTTTCTGCCTTTGAAACTTCTGAAACTCTGTTTCAGAAAAAACTTTTTTTTCTGCCTCTAAAAGCCTCTGAAACAGAGCTTCAGAAAAAAAGGCTTTTTTCTGAAGCTCTGTTTGGAGGCTTTTTTTCTGAAGCTTCTTTCAGAGGCTTTTATTCTGAAGGACTATCTGTACTCTGTTCAATCTCCTTTCTTTGATATTGGTATGTAGATTAACCTCTTCCAATCTGTTGATTATTGTGTCATTCTCCAGATTTGTTAGCATAGTTTGGTTAAAACCTTTACTTATTCTTCTTTTGTTGCTTGCCATATTATTTTAAATAAAAGCCTTTCAGAGACTTTTTTTCTGAAGCTTCTTTCAGAGGCTTCTTTCAGCCTCTGAAATCTCCGTTTGCAAGGCTGGGTGGGGCTACATTTGGAGTATAAGATGCATCCAGATTTTCACCCTCTTTTTTGGGGGAAAAAGGTGCGTCTTATACTCCGAAAAATATGGTACATTCTTTTGCTCACCTGTTTCTGTCATGACTCCTTGAAATCATTCAATCTTCTCGGGAGAACTGAATTAGCCCAGGGGTGCAAAACATGGGCTCATATCCTTTTGCAATCTTTTGAGCCTCCTTAAGAATGGTGGAATTGAATCTGCTCTTCTCCTCTGTCCTTCCCCCACCCTCCCCCCATTTATGCTTGGAGGGGTGCTCCAAGAAAGATTAAGGAGCGAAATGGTGCTTTTAAGCATTGTAAAGGCTAATACCTCTTTATGCCCTCACCAAAATAGGATTCTGGTCCAAAATCAGATTCTGATTTCGGATTTGGAATGTTACTCCTGTAATGCTACACAAGCCTTGGTGCAGCCTGCTAGCCAAAGAAATGCCAACCTAAACATGTTAAACAAAAGGGCTCTATCCAGTTAATAGTATCACAAAATGCCCATAAGTAAATTGAAAGATGCTTACCCAGTTCCTGAGAGCCCACTGCTGACAGAGGGAGAGGGCGGAGGGGTTCCTATAGCTTCCTTGGTATAAGGGATCCCTCCACCAGATGGAGACGATGAGCTCAGCAGTGAAGTGGAGCAGATGGTAGCATCATCAGAATCAACTAGGGGAAATTGTGAGAGAGCACCTGATTATATGTCTTTGTTTGCCCAGAGCACTTGGTGGAAAACGTGGCTGTCTGGAATGAGGCGCAAAAGAGATTTCTATCTGCTATCAGAGCTGGGCTGTTTCCATATGCCTTGCCCTACCAAACTTACCAAGGTAATTACTATGGA